AGGAGGGAGTGGAATAGCGCGTAATGACCGCATCGAAAGTACTCCTTCGCATTTGCTACAGCCGTGAAGCGAGGACACTCAGACAGGGGGAGGGCGTGAATGATAGCAAGCTGCGCTACGGCGTCGCGGGACTCCTAGACAGCGCGCACAAGCTCAGCAGCGACAAAGGCCTCACGCTGAGCAGTGGTGGGGGTGTCAGAGAGGGCAGCAAACGCGTCGAGGCGGGGGAGCTTACCGTCAACATGGACGGCCAGGGAATAGCCATACTGGCGCTGACCCATCAGCTGACGGCGAAGGTCGACGAGCCACGCCTCAAAGTCGATCGCCCGACCCTCCGCGTCCAAGCGGAGCACAGCGTCCGACATCACCACGGCCGCAGCCGCGTACAGCGACACGGCGACCCAGCTGCATGGCGGCATGGCTACACGGTGGCACGGCGACACGGCGGCATGGCGAAACAGCGGCACAGCGGGACTGCGGCACATCGGCCCGAACGGTGGCACGGCAGGACTGGGGTCGGCGCGAACTGGGGCCGGGGAGCGAGGGGCCGGCAAGCTAAGGGGCCGGCGATCGAGGGGCAGGGGAGATAGGGGCCGGCGAGCGAGGGGCCGGCGAACTAGGATCCAGCAAGGTAGGGGCCGGCGAGCGCGGGGTTGGCGAGCGCAGGGTGGACGAGCGCGGGGGCAGCAAGCTAGGGGCCGGCGAGCGCAGGGCCAGCGAGTGCGGGACGGGCGATTGCGGGGCCGGCTAGCTAGGGGCCAGCGTGCGTGGGGGCCAATGGGCGCGGGGCCAGCGAGCGTGGGGCTGGCGAGCGTGGGGTCGGCGAGCGCGGGGCTGGCGAGCGCGGGGGCGACGAGCGCGGGGCCAGCGAGCGCAGGGCCGGCGAGCACGGGGCCGGCAAGCTAGGGGCCTGCGAGCGCAGGGCCAGTGGGTGCGGGGCAAGTAAGCGAGGGGCCGACGAGCGCGGGGCCAGCGAGCTACCGCTGCTAGGATGGCCTAGGGCGGCTAGGGCAGGCTAGGGCGAGCTTGAGCGGCTAGAGCAGGCGAGGTAGGGTAGGGCGGACCTAACCTAGCGTAATACCATCTCAGCGTAACGGAATGAACTAGAATGAGTGATACAGGGTGGTTTTGTCCTCATGAGCATGCACCTATCTAGCCTATAACATATACAGATACATGTTGACACACTGCTGGGGATTCCCAACCAAGATTATGAAGGAACAGGTAAATTTGCGTCATTTGGGATGGTGGTTTCTAAGAGCCTTCAGCTCGCTCAGTGCACCCAAAACAACCCGACAGCTGCTTCTCTGCCAGCAGCACCTGGCCGGTGGTTACCGTCCCGACTCCCGACCAAGTCACATGAATGCACCTCGTTAACTACGTTGTACAGCAAACACATTCCTTTATCGCATACCATAACACACGAACCATGGCGATTTGCATGGGGTTGATCCTATGAGCAAGCGGGTAGTGGAGTCCCGCATAGATTAGGGTTTCCTGGTTTGAAGGAAGCCCGTTTCAGCTTGCTAAGAGCAGCGGGAACAGCCCCTGACAGCTGGTTCCCTGCCAGCAGCACCTGGCCGATAGTCCGTGGCCAAACCGTAGGAATGGGACCCGACAGCCGGTTATACGACACGCGCAGTCCCTTCAGCTGCTGCATGCCGCTCACCCCAGCCGGGATCGCCCCTGTGAGGGCGTTTCTGTCTAGAAGCAGCCATTTGAGGCTTTTAAAGGAGCTGATTGTAGCAGGGATGGAGCCGGAGAGTCGGTTAGAGGAGAGGTAGAGGGCGTCGAGGGAGGGGGCGCAGGTGGGGGAGGCGAGAGGGGTGGGCGGGCCGGAGAGGGCGTTGGAAGCAAGGTTGAGGGAGACAAGGGCCTGCTGGCCCTGGCAGAAGGGGGGGATGGGGCCTGAGGTGTGGGAAGGGGGAGGAGGCAACAGGAGGAAGCACAGAGAAGGAGAGTGAAAAGAAGGTTGAGGGTTGAGGTAGAGAAGGGCCTACTGTTGCTGACCCTGGCAGAAGGGGGGGATGGGGCAAGAGGGGTGGAGAGGGGGAGGAGGCAACAGGAGGAAGCACAGAGAAGGAGAGTGAAAAGCAGGTTGAGTGTTGAGGTAGAGAAGAGCCAGCTGGCCCTGGCAGAAGGGGGGGATGAGGCTTGAGGGGAGGAGTGGAGGGCGGAAATGGGGCAAATCACAGGGTCGAGGCAGGGGATAATGAGAATGAGACAACAAGGTAAGGGATGAGAGAGACCGAGATGAAGCCTGGAGGTCGAGGAAGAGAAAAGCCTGCAAGTGGAGAGAAAGGCCGTGCAAAGCAAATTAATCTGCAGGAAAAGGAAAGAGGAAGTAGAGAGAGACCATGCAAACTAATCTGCAGTTTTCTGGTCGGCTTACCTGTCAGGGAGTTGGCTCCGAGGTTCAAGTTATTTAACTGGGGTAACGTGGTGAGGCCTTGGGGAATTATCCCTGTGAACTTGTTGAATGCCAGGTCCACAGCCACGATGCTCTTGGGCAGGCTGGAAAAAGGCTGCAAGCTGCCCGAGAAGTTGTTGCGGCTCAAGAATAGGGCCAGGAGCACCCTATTTGCAGGCTTGAAACAATTTGCTGGAACGGCTCCGGTCAGGCGATTACGCGAGAAATCAGCGCTTTCAAGGCTGCCCGAACTGCTGCACAAGAGTTGCGGAAAGGTGCCCGAGAAAAGATTATCCGAAACGTCGATGAAGCTCACAGATTCGCTGAACCGGATCTGGTTAAAATTTCCGGCCAGCCTGTTCCCACTGAATCCAATGAAAGAAGCTTTTATCTGCTGCCCGCTGAGGTCTCCTGAAAGCCGGTTCTGATCCAAAACAAGCGCCGACATTTGTTTTCCCAGCAGGGCAGGCGGAATTTCTCCTGAAAACCCATTCGAGTTCAAAAGTAACACCCACAGCATCGGTAATGTCGCGAGGGCAGCAGGAATCGGCCCAGAAAGCAAATTTATCCCGAGGTCCAGAACTGCTAACGAAGTCATCGTGGCGTACGCGACAGGGCGCTGTGGTAACCCGCCGGAGAAGAAATTTCGCGACGTCCGCAGGGTGAAAAGATACGGCAGGCGAAAAAAGGCGAAGGGAAGAGGGCCAGCGAAGCAGTTGTCTTGGAGGTCGAGTGATTGAAGTTTCGTAAGCCGGGAAAGCGACTGCGGGACGGAACCAGCGAGCCAGAGGTTCGCAGCTCGGAGGTCGATAAGATCCGTCAACTGGCCGATAGAAGCGGAGAGTGTCGGGGGGAATTTTCCGCCTCGTTCGCGCGCGGTACTGTTGCAAAGGCGAGGCGTCCGCGGCAGCAAGAGCCGGCTGACGCTGCTCGTGAGGTTAAGCCCTATAACAGCGCCGTCCACGGCGCATGTCACGCCGGGCCACGTGCACGCGTTCGGCTTGTTTGGCGGAATAGGCAGCTGCGCCGCCGTGAAGATCGCCGTAAGAGCCGCCATGTTCGCCACCGAAGTTTGCGCTGAGGCTGAAGATGAGCCGCTTAGCCCTAATCCCGTTGACATGCTGTCAACGCGGCGGATGGTTCCGCCAACTGACGCTGCTTCCGCTGCTCGCTGCGCGGATGCTTCTTCCGCGGCTGCTTTTGCCGCGGATGTTTTCTCCGCCCGCCGCGCAGCGGCAGCCGTCCGCGCGGAAACTCGTCCGTGGCGAGCATCAGACAGCCTCGATATAAGCGGCCTCGATATGGGCTTGAGAGCTGTCGTTGGTGAACAGTAGAGGAGCAGGAGAACGAGACATGCTGAGATAGCGTGAGCGCTCAGCGCGAAAGTAGTAATGGAGATGGGACGCCGTGAGATGTGAGGGTGATATTCGGCAATGGCCATCGGCCTGAACGCCTTCACGGGTAGCGAAGTTCGCTCCGAGCGAGCTCCGACCTGAAACCTTCGCTCAAGCTTGACTCAAGCTTGCCTCAAGCTTCCCGAAAGTGATTCACGGTAAGTTATCAGCGAAACAATCTGGGATAGAGTAACCAAGGATGGAGCGCTCGGGTTTAACGAATAGAGACATAAGTCGAGCTGTGTGAAGATAGGGGGAGTTGGTCCTGGATATATAGCTTCTCGCAAATGCGGGCCGATCGTGAAGAAATGCGATGCGCGTGCTGAACGTAGTATTTTGCCGCGAGCGAGCAACTTCCAGTTTCCTGCTGTGGCTCGAAGCCACAACATGAAACTGGAACTGCCTGCTGTTGCGGCAGTACGGATGGATGCACGCCATCGCCGCCGCGAGAGCGACTAGTCCGGACCAGATCAACGGGAGCAGCAGAGATAGCGTGGAGGTTGGAGTGAAGGATTGGTTGAAGGCTCGAGAGTCGAGAGAGAGAGGGAGGGAGGGGCTGGCGAGGGAGCGGGAGGAGTGCGATTTCCATTCCATGGCGAAGGGAAGGGATGAGAGAGGGGCTGGTTGGGGTGGTGGAGAGCAGTGAGGTGAAGGAAATGGCGCAACAGATCGAGGGAGAAGGAGAGGAATTGGATCGGTATAACACACAAATCATGCGCTTTAGTACGGTAAGCGAGCCGCCAAACGGCAAATCGTGCTGCAAATTTACAGTACAATTTTGGTTTTTTGGGCTCCTGAAGCAAGGAGCAGTTGCGCCCCGGCAGTTTCCTGAAATGGACCCACGGTCAGACCTGAAACCGTTTCCCGACGTTAGGAGATAGAACGGCTCTAGCAAAAAAAATGTCAATGGAAACATCCCAGCATTATCGGTGTATACGATACTTCAACATTCTCGCACATGGGCCGAGACAGAGCTTGGAAGATTCAGCCAACCCAGCTTAAATTGCTTAACGGAAACCATTTGCTCGGATCGTTTCTAAACAGCACGACTCCGAATATGGTAGTTCTTCGAGCATTGACCTTGGCGAATGGTGGGGATCATCCATATGTTCACTTCGAGCGTCAATCCCAGTCAACTCCCATACCTTCATGAATCTCAACTCTCGCGTTATAGCGAAGCAACGCCCTACATGAAGTTATAAAGATGGTAGCTCTCACATTACGGAAGTCCTAAGTATTTGGGAGACAAGTTCATGGGTTTGCCGAGTTGGCATGGAGCATAAGCCACGAGTAAGAAAGCCCCTGTTGTTGTTGTTGTTGTTGTTGTTGTTGTTTGTTGTTGTTGTTGTTGTTGTTGTTGTTGTTGTTGTTGTTTGTTGTTGTTGTTGTTGTTGTTGTTGTTGTTGTTGTTGTTGTTGTTGTTGTTGTTGTTGTTGTTGTTGTTGTTGTTGTTGTTGTTGTTGTTGTTGTTGTTGTTGTTGTTGTTGTTGTTGTTGTTGTTGTTGTTGTTGTTGTTGTTGTTGTTGTTGTTGTTGTTGTTGTTGTTGTTGTTGTTGTTGTTGTTGTTGTTGTTGTTGTTGTTGTTGTTGTTGTTGTTGTTGTTGTTGTTGTTGTTGTTGTTGTTTGTTGTTGTTGTTGTTGTTGTTGTTGTTGTTGTTGTTGTTGTTGTTGTTGTTGTTGTTGTTGTTGTTGTTGTTGTTGTTGTTGTTGTTGTTGTTGTTGTTGTTGTTGTTGTTGTTGTTGTTGTTGTTGTTGTTGTTGTTGTTGTTGTTGTTGTTGTTGTTGTTGTTGTTGTTGTTGTTGTTGTTGTTGTTGTTGTTGTTGTTGTTGTTGTTGTTGTTGTTGTTGTTGTTGTTTGTTGTTGTTGTTGTTGTTGTTGTTGTTGTTGTTGTTGTTGTTGTTGTTGTTGTTGTTGTTGTTGTTGTTGTTGTTGTTGTTGTTGTTGTTGTTGTTGTTGTTGTTGTTGTTGTTGTTGTTGTTGTTGTTGTTGTTGTTGTTGTTGTTGTTGTTGTTGTTGTTGTTGTTGTTGGGTTGCGGAGAAACCTATTGCGATCTATCGTAAGGAATTTTTTTTCAAGTTAGTGATTTGGAAAAAAACTACCAAATCTTGAAAAAAAAGAAAAGAATTTCCCAATAACTTTTTGTTTCCCTAATTGATTTGAATCTAAAATGTTTGTCGTTGTTGTCAAACATGTGTAGTTATCATGTTTGTATAGACTGTATAGGGTCACCTTCTAGAGAGTACAACATTTAGGTATATGTTTGTGTACTCTCTCTCTCACATTATTCAATTCTAGGTTTGATATGGTATCACGAGTAGGTTTCGACCCCCCCCCCCCCCCCCCCACCTACCGCTTCCGCTCCTCCCGTCGCGTCTCCTAGCCTCGCCTCGCCCCTCCTGAGCCCAGTCGCGACCCCTCCCCCTAGCCCCGTCGCGCCCCTTCCAGGGCCTCGTAGCGCCCCTCCAGGCCCCGTCGCGCCCCCCTTCCAGGGCCTCGTAGCGCCCCTCCAGGCCCCCGTCGCGCCCCTCCAGGGCTCTGTAGCGCCCCTCCAGGGCCCCGTCGCGCCCCCTAGCGCCCCTCCTGGGCCCCGTAGCGCCCCTCCAGGGCCCCGTCGCGCCCCTTCGCGCCCCTCCTGGGCCCCGTAGCGCCCCTCCAGGGCCCCGTCGCGCCCCTTAGCGCCCCTCCTGGGCCCCGTCGCGCTCCTCACAGGCCCCGTAGCGCCCCGTAGCGCCCCTCCTGGGCCTCGTCGCGCCCCTCCTGGGCTTCGTAGCGCCCCTCCTGGGCTTCGTAACGCCCCTCCCAGGCCCCGTCGCGCCCCTCCTGGGCTCCGTAGCGCCCCTACTGGGACCCGTCGCGCCCTCCCTGGGCCCTGTAGCGCCCCTCCTGGGCCCCGTCGTGCCCCTCCCAGGCCCCGTCGCGCCCCTCCTAGGCCCGTAGTGCCCCTCCTGGGCCCGTAGCGCCCCTCCTGGGCCCCCATTGCGCCCCTCCTGGGCCCCGCCGCGCCCCTCCTGGGCCCCCATTGCGCCCCTCCTGGGCCCGTAGCGCCCCTCCTGGGCCTGTTGCGCCCCTCCTGGGCCCTGCCGCGCTCCTCCCTGGGCCCCGTATCCACCCTCCTGGGCCCCGTCGCCCCTGCTCGGCCCCGTCGCCCCTGCTCGGCCCCGTCGCCCCAGCTCGGCCCTGTCGCGGCCTCTCGGCCCCGTGGCGCCCGCCCTGCCCCTGTCGCACCCGCCCGGCCCCGTCGCCCCCGCCCGGCCCTGCTGTGTCCTGCCCGGCCCCGTCGCTGCCGCCCGGCCCTGTCGCTGCCGCCCGGCCTCGTAGCTGCCGCCCGGCCCTGTCGCTGCCGCCCGGCCTCGTAGCTGCCGCCCGGCCTTGTCGCTGCCGCCCGGCCCCGTCGCAGCCGCCCGGCCCCGTCGCAGCCGCCCGGCCCCGTCGCAGCCGCCCGGCCCCGTCGCAGCCGCCCGGCCTCGTCGCTGCCGCCCGGCCCCGTCGCAGCCGCCCGGCCCCTCGTCCCGCCTGCCCGGCCCCGTCGCGCCTGCCCGGCCTCGACGTGCCTGCCCGGCCCCGTCGCGCCTGCCCGGCCCCGTCGCGCCTGCCCCGGCCCTCCATACTTCCTGGTACTGTCCCCCGTTCCCCGCACCACTTTGCACCCTCCTGCACTTTCCTGCCCCGCCTTGCACCGCATTGCACCTCACTGAACCGCACTGAACCGCACTGCACCGCACTGCATCGCACTGCACCGCACTGGACCGCACTGCACCGCCCTGCACCGCACTGCACAGCACTACACCGCACTCCACTGTCCTCCACTGCCCCTCATGGCTGCTGAGCTTCGTTTTGATGCTGAGGGTCAGCCTCTGGAGTTCGAGGCGTGGTTGGCTGACCTTCGCCGCCACCTCACTGGTCAGCGGCAGGACGGCCACCCGCTTTCTGCACACCTAGACGGTATGCTCCCCTGCCCTGACCCCCCTGCTGTGCTGCCTGCTGATCCCACGCCCGCTGAGCGCGAGTCCACTGCCGCCGCTGCCCTTGCCCGCTCTGTCTGGCTTTCCCGCGATGCCCTTGCTCAGCTCGCCATTAGCAATGCCCTCCCCCCCCTTGAGCGCCCTCACTTTAGAACCATTACTACCGCCCAGGCCTACCTCGATGCTGTCATCAAGCGCTATTCTACCCCTCCTGCTGCCTCAGTGGGTCGCCTGATCCTCCCCCTGCTCTTTCCTGACCTGGCGTCCTTCCCCACTGTCTCTGACCTCGCTGCCCACCTGCGCTCGATAGATGAGGCCTGGCGCGCTGCCTGCACTGATGCACAGCTTAGAGTCCACCAGCCTCCCATGACCTCTACCCTCTACCTCCTTGCCACCCGCCTCCCTGACCGCCTTGCCGCCGCCCGCGACCAGTTCCTTAGCATCCACCCTGCTGCTCTCACCCTCACCGACTTTGTTGACACCCTGACTGTTATAGAGACTCGTCACCGCTCCATCGCCCAGGCGAGCGGTACAGTACCGGTCCCTATCTTTCAGGGTTGTGCCCCCGCTCAGTGTACCTTCTCCGACGGCTCTGTCGCTGTGGCTGAGACTGCTGCTGCAGTGCAGTCCCGCTCGGGGAAGGGCCGCCGCCCCAAGGTTGGGAGCGGCGGAGGTGGCGGGGGTGCGGGTGGGGGTAGTGGTGGAGGCGGGTCGTCCGGTGCCGGTGCGGACGTGGGGACCCTGCCCGGTCCAGCTGCCCCGCTGCCTCCACCGTTGCAGCAGCCGCAGCAGCAGCAGCCTCCGCAGCAGCCGCAGCAGCCGCCGCAGACGAGGCCGGCGAGTGCTCTCCCGCCTGGGTGGCCTGGAGCTGGTGGTGGTCGTGCGCGTGGTGGTGCACCGGGTGGTGGTTCTGGAGGCGGGCCCTGTCAGTACCAGATCCAGACCGGTCCTCGCCGCGGCTTCGTTTGCGGTAAGATCGGTCATTCCACTCCTCGCTGTTTTCGTCGTCTGGACGACCTGTTCCGCCAGCGCTTTGGCCCGGCGCCCGACCTCCCGGACTGGCACAGCTTGCTTAGGCGTAGCATTCGGATTTTTGACTTGGACATGGATGCCATTGTAGCAGCCTTGCATGTGATGTATGCCGATGACTCTAGTGTGCTTCCCTCTTATTACCCCGTGTTGCCTAGTGTAGCTGTGCCTAGCGTAGACTCCCCTGCTGCGTCAGGCGTAGGATCTCCTGCTTTGCTTAGCCTCGGTGCTTCCACCGCTTCACTGTCGCCCCGCGCGACTGCTGCGCTTTCCTTCACCTTGGACTCTGGCGCCTCCCGGTGTTTCTTCCGCGACTCCACGACGCTGACGCCGCTGCCTGTTCCTGCTGCAGTTACTCTTGCTGACCCCTCCGGTGGTCCCGTCTTTGCCCGCAGTTCCACCTCCCTTCCCTGTCCGGCGGTTCCTTCAGGTTCGCTCACCGGTCTGCATATCCCTTCGTTCTCCAGGAACCTAGTTGGTGTCGGCTGCCTCCAGGACCTTGGCGTCACCACTACGTTCCCTGGTCACGAGCGGTATGCTGTCTGTACCGAGGCCGCCACTGGTGCCCCCCTTACCACTTTCCCCCGGGACCCGGTGTCCGGCCTGTTCACACTTGACACCGCGACGTCCCCGGCTGGGTCTTCCCCCCAGGTAGCTGCGTCCACCCAGGTTGCTGCTGCGTGCTCCTGTCGGTCCCTCACTCATCCGACTCTCCTTTGGCACCACCGCCTTGGTCACCCTGCACTCCCGCGTCTGCGTCACATGTCCCAGCACGGTCTCGTCCTTGGTCTCCCCGGTTCGTTCCCTGAGTTTCCCTCATCCCCCGCCCCACCGTGCACGCCTTGTGTCGAGGGCCGGCTCCGCCGTGCCCCTCACTCCTCCTCTTTTCCCCCTACCACCGCACCCCTGCAGACTCTGCACATGGACGTCTGGGGCCCAGCCCCGGTCCATGGGCCGCGTCGCGAGCGCTTCTTCCTAGTGCTTGTCGACGACTTCACACGTTACACCACCGTCTTTCCCCTGGAGCGGAAGGCCGACGTGCCTGACGTTCTCATCCCCTGGCTTGTCTCTGCTCGTCTCCACCGCGGTCTCCCTGCCTTGCGCCTCCACTCCGACCGGGGTGGCGAGTTCGCCTCAGGTGTCCTTGGTCGCTTCTGTCGTGCGGAGGGCATCACCCAGACGTTTACCCTGCCGGACTCCCCGCAGCAGAATGGGGTCGCTGAGCGACGCATCGGTTTGGTCATGGAGGTGGCTCGCACCTCCATGATCCACGCCGGTGCACCCCATTTTCTGTGGCCGTTCGCCGTGCGCTACGCCGCTCACCAGCTTAACCTGTGGCCGCACCCCCAGCGGCCGCAGGTTTTGCCGACCCTTCTGTGGACCGGGTCCCCTGGTGACGCGTCTGCGTTCCACGTCTGGGGCTGCCTTGCTCACGTTCGTGCCTCTGGCACGGACAAGCTCACTGCCCGCACCCTCCCCTGCGTCTTCCTCGGTTTCCCCCTTGACGAGTCCGACTGGCACTTCTACCACCCGCCGTCTCACCGTTTCTTTCACTCTCGCGACGTCACCTTTGACGAGTCCGTCTCCTTCTTCCGCCGCTTTCCCCACCGTGGTCCCCCGGTTACTCCCCCCCTGTTCCTGGTTCCTCCCTCCCTGGTGGCCCCTGCCCCTCCCCCCCCCCCGCCCCCCCGTCCGGCCCCCTCTGGTGTGTCTCACGTCACCCCCCTCCCGTCGGTCGTTCCGGTCGACGAGTCTTCTGACTCTGGTAGTCCTTTGGCGCAGTCCTCGCCGTCTGTCCCTCCCCCGGTGTCTCCTCCTCCACCGCCTCCGCAGCCGCCGTCGCCGCAGCTGCTGCAGCCGTCGTCTCCGCCGCCGCCGCCGTCGAGGCCGTCACTGCAGCCGCCGCCGCCGCCGCCGCCGCCGTCGTCGCTGCCGCTGTTTGTGGACTCTGGGGGTGCTGGAGTTGAGGTGGGTACTAGTCCCGGGGCTCCTGTCGTGGCTTGTCCCGGCGGGCCTGGGAATGGTACCGGTGCTGGCGGTGTTTCGGGCTCTGGTGGTGTCCCTTCTGGGGGTGCCGGTGTGGAGGGTTCGGGAGGTAGCCGTCGCGCAGCTTGTGGCCCTGGCGTTGGTGTTGTGTCGCCGCAGCAGCAGTCCCCGCCGGTGTCCGCCCTCCGTCTGCTCGGCCTTCCGTCCCCTGACCCTGCGCCTGTTCCTCCCCGGCCGTCTCCCCCTCTTCCCGTCTACGGCCCTGTGTTCCCTCCGCCGGGCTCGTCCCCGGCTCGTTTTCCCCCTCGTTCCCCACCCGTGTCCCCTCCTCTGTCTCCTGACCCGACGCCGCCCTCTCACGTCTGGTCTCGCCGCCCCTCCCGTGCTCGTCCTGTCTCCCCCGTCCCGCGCACTCACCCTATGTTGCTCCGCTCCCCCGCGTCTCGTCCTCCCCTCCTCCCGTCTCCTCCTCCGTCCTCTCTTGTCGTTGCGTCTCCTCCTCTGTCTGACTACTTTCGTGCCGCTCGTCCTCTTGTTCCTCGGGTCCTTGCCTCTCTCGTTACCGACCCGTCTGTTCCAGTGTCGAGTCTTGACGCCCTTGTCGCTGCGGTCGCTGACTTCGCCTCTACCCGCCGCCTTGACTACGCCTCCGCTCTGGTCTCTGACCCTGCCTGTCCTCCGTCTGTCGGGGGTGCTCCTGCCCTCGGCAGTGACGTCCTGGAGGACCGCCAGTTCGAGCTTGCTTTCCTGTCCGAGGCTGCTCCCCATCTCTGTTCCATGCTGCTAGTCCCTGAGGGTGACCCAGACGCTTTTGACATCCCGACCCCTCGTACTTACGCTGAGGCGGTTTCGGGACCTTGGGCCTCTCAGTGGATAGCTGCCATGGAGCAGGAGATGGCATCTTGGAGATCCACCGGCACCTTCGTCGACGCAGTTCCCCCACCTGGGGTGAACGTGGTCGATGGCCGTTGGCTTTTCAAGGTGAAGCGCCCTCCTGGAGAGCCGCCTGTGTTCAAGGCGCGTTACGTGGCTAGAGGCTTCAGTCAGCGCGAGGGGGTGGACTTCTTTCAGACTTTCGCTCCTACCCCGAAGATGACTACTCTTCGGGTTCTGCTACACGCAGCGGCTCAGCGTGACTACGAGCTTCACTCCCTCGACTTCTCCACTGCCTTTCTTCAGGGCAGCCTTCACGAGCAGGTCTACCTGCGTCGTCCTCAGGGCTTTACTGGCACCTTCCCCCCTGGGACCCAGTGGCTTCTGCGGCGCCCAGTCTACGGCCTGCGCCAGGCGCCTCGTGAGTGGCACGACACGCTGCGTGCTACTCTTGCTGACCTGCAGTTCTTTCCGTCCTCTGCAGACCCCTCGCTCTTCGTTCGTGCTGGCTCGACTCCGTTCTACATCCTCGTCTACGTAGACGACCTGGTCTTTGCCACAGCTGACAGGGACGCACTGGCCTCCGTGAAGGCAGAGCTGCTGAAGAGACACACCAGCACTGACCTTGGAGAGCTGCGCCGTTACCTTGGCTTGCAGATCTCCAGGGACAGAGCCGCGCGCACCATCACCCTGACTCAGTCACACTTGGTGCGCCAGGTCCTTCAGAGGTTCGGCCTTCAGTTCTCCTCCGCACAGCCCACCCCTCTTCCTCTGGACCACAGACTCTCCGCTCCAGTTCCTGAGGAGTCGGTAGATCCCAGTGGTCCTTACGCTGAGCTAGTGGGTTGCCTCATGTACCTGATGACTTGCACTCGCCCAGATCTCGCATACCCTCTCAGCATCCTGGCTCGTTTTGTGGCCACAGGCAGACACCGACCTCAGCACTGGTCTGCCGCTAAAAGGGTTTTGCGTTATCTTGCAAGTACATCGGGCATGGGGTTAGTGCTAGGCGGACGCAGGCCAGTGGTCCTTACTGGACACACAGACGCTTCTTGGGCAGACGACGCCGAGACGCTCAGGTCTTCCCAGGGCTACTGCTTTAGCCTTGGCTCAGGTGCTGTCTCGTGGAGAGCTACCCGCTCCTCGTCGGTTGCCCAGTCCAGCTGTGAGGCTGAGATCTACGCCGGTGTCATGGCGGCACAGGAGCTCCGCTGGCTGACCTTCTTGCTCACTGACTTAGGTGAGCGGCCTAGCTCTGCCCCGGTCCTGTACGCTGACAATAGGGCCATGATTCTCCTGTGTCAGGAGCCTCGACTCGAGGGCAGAGCGAAGCACATCCAGCTGCGGTACTTCCTCCTGCGCGAGCTACAGCAGCGGCGCCAGGCTCGCGTAGTACACTTGGCCTCCGGTGCCAACACAGCTGATATCTTTACGAAGGCGCTTGCGCCTAAAGATCATCAGCGGCACTGTTTACAGCTTGGTCTGGTTCCTGTAGTCTCTCACTTACTCGGGCCTTGACTTTGTACTGTCGTATATATATATATGTATACACTCAGACTGGACTTGTGTCCTCTCCCAGTGGTTGGACTAGTAGTGCCGCCCTGTACTCGTTCTTGCCTTGTCTGTACTCCTTCTGACTGGTCTTTTAGACCCTTGTCTCAGAGGCTGGACTAGTAGTGCCACTCTGAGCTACTTGTCTAGAACATTCCCCTATGCAGTCCAGGGGGTGTGTCAAACATGTGTAGTTATCATGTTTGTATAGACTGTATAGGGTCACCTTCTAGAGAGTACAACATTTAGGTATATGTTTGTGTACTCTCTCTCTCACATTATTCAATTCTAGGTTTGATAGTTGTTTCCCATTATTTCCAGTGGCGTATTTTTGTCATTGACAAAAATAGGCTCTCGCTTCCCCAGCTAAGTGGGGGAAGTCGAAAGCCTATTATGTCGACCGTGAGATAATACATTTTATGATAGCAAGAAAATCATCAGCAAGGATTTTTTTTTTTTTTTTTTTTTTTTTTTGGACAAGCAACAATGCAATTCAGACAGCTTGGAATAGAAACGGTGTTTAGCTGACGCCCATAACGAAGCCACTTTTCAACTTTCACGAGTGCTTCGAATCCTGTGTCAAGTATACAAGAATACCAAGAGAATTAGAGGGGATCAGGAAACAAGGCAAGAAGTAGAGCAAGAAACAGACGGTGAACACGGATTAGACAATGATACAAGAAAATAAGAAGAAAGGGTTGCAGAAAAAACGGCAAAACGGAAGTCAAAATGGGTTGCAGCTCAATAAATCGACCTAGATCTAGGTCGGAGTGGGCTGCAGCCCCATAAATTGACCTAGATCTAGGTCGAAAAAGGTCGCAATCCCTAAAATCGACCTAGAACGAAGTCGATATGGGTTGCAGCCCTGTAGATCGACCTAGAACTAGGCTGAAATGAGTTGCAACCCCCTAATAACTACCTAGAACGAGGTCGGGCTGCAGCCCAGTAATACGACCTAGAACAAGGTCGAAATGGGTTGCAGCCCAATATCTCCACCTAGAACTATCGAGGTCGCGGAAAGAAAATAGGAAATCTGAGGAAATTAAATGCAACCCTTCAGTGACTTGAAAGCCTAGGACGCTGTGAATGACGTACCTGTGCTATGAGAGGTAGCTCTGCTGAGGAGAATGTTAGGCAAGAGGAAAAAGGGAAGCGAGTTGCTGAAGTTGTTGGACCTTCTCTCAGAAACTTATGACACTAGCCTCTTAAACTTAGGACGCTGACTTAGCTAGGATACAAGGAATGCCGCCATGGAATGGCGTGAGGAAAATAGATCTAGGAGCGGGGGAGAGAATGTCGAGAAAGAAGGGGTTCGATTAGGAAGAGAGAGGAGTACAAGGAAGGGATTGTACCCTCTACAGAAAGGTTCAGTAACAACTATCAAGCCTATCAATTATATATAACTTATATAATCTTGACACACCCCCTAGGCTTGGTAGTCATACACCCACCCAACACACCACACACACACACACACACACCCTAGTCTAGCACCCCAATACTCAGCAACAGCCACGGCCATTCCAGCATGGCCAACCTCACGGCGCGAGAGGCGGGGCGACAGTGCAACAAGGGCTGCGGGGACACCGTCAGCATCGAGTGCGGCATCGACAGCGGCAGCGGCGGCGGCGTGCGGCGGGAACGCCCAGTGGCATCAGCGGCGGCGGCGGCGGCTTCGACGTCGGCAGTCGGCGGCGGTGCAGGGCCCGCAGTACTCGGCGGAGTGGCCGGGTTCCGCGACGGTGGGACGGCCGGTGCAAGGCAGCCGTAGGCTGTGGCGAGTAAGAGGGGACGCAGGGAACGGGGGCAGGGCTGCAGCAGCACACGGTGTGGCGCGTCAGCGTGCTGGCGTGCTGGCCAGCGCTAAGGCCGAGCACTGGCCGCATGTCGCCACAGCAGCACGTCAAGACGGTCGCGGTGGTACGACACGACCGTGATGACGTCAGCGCAATGCCACGGTTGCGCGTCGAGACGGCAGTGGCAGGACGGCGCAGCCGGCGACAAGACGACGCCGCCACAGCGTGACGCCGCCGCGGCCGCCATGTCAGCGTGAGGAATAGGAGAGGAAAGTGCGGCGGAAGCGTGAGGAGCAGGCCCGCTAGGAGCGGACTGCTCTGATACCATCTCAGAAACTTAGGACACTAGCCTCTTAAACTTAGGACGCTAACTTAGCTAGGATACAAGGAATGCCGCCATGGAATGGCGTGAGGAAAATAGATCTAGGAGCGGGGGAGAGAATGTCGAGAAAGAAGGGGTTCGATTAGGAAGAGAGAGGAGTACAAGGAGGGGATTGTACCCTCTATAGAAAGGTTCAGTAACAACTATCAAGCCTATCAATTATATACAACTTACATAATCTTGACACATTCGTCGCAAAATTACGATTGTTTAAATACAAACAGACCAAATGTTAAGTAATTTAGCTCAGTCGTTTGAATGGGTTGATACAATCGCTCTCCGGTTCAAACCTTGATAAAACGTGATAATAATGTCTCCACTTTGGAAATTGCTTCGTCTAAATTCTTTTTCACACAGTGCCTCAATTTTCAAGTAAATATGTGAAACATCATCATTTGTTATTGTCATATGGAAATACAAATCAAATGTTTGTTGTGATATGGAAATAAAACATTTTATGTATAATAAAATCTCATCATGAAATGCTCCGCAACCCTAAGGCGACCTCGTCGCCTTTTTTGGGTTGCGGAGCAACCTATTGCAATCGATCGAGCTGGTTTTTTTTTCAAGTTTGTGAAATAAAAATCAAATGTTTGTTGTGATGGAAATAAAACATTTTATGTATAATAAAGTCTCATCATGAAATGCTCCGCAACCCTAAGACGATCTCGTCGCCTCTTGTTTTTTTTTTTTTTTTTTTTTTTTGGTTTTTTTTTGTTTTTATGTTTTTTTTGTTGGAAAACACGATATGAGATGAGATGATCACTGTTACCAACCAACTCTTCCACAGAAGAGGACCACCCAACTTCCCTCAAGTGCGTCGTCACAAAACCGAAAGGGAATCCTGAATGTATTTCAAAACAGTACTACATCCACTTCGTTCGAAAGCGAGATCAAGTCTCCACCCATTCAGCTGCAGTGAGTGAGCCCACATATGCCCACCACCCATCACCAACGTGCCTCCTCGTGCTGCATTCTAATAGCCCCTCCACTATTTCGAAATAATCCAGATCCCCTGTGCCACCTTCACCAGGTGCACCTCCCCTTCCCTCGCCTTAAAAACACTTGCTCCTGTGGTGGCAGCCCAATGGTCTTCCCCATCGTCCCTGGAGGTGTGCCTGGGATGTCATGTGTCTAGCTGCTCCCAGCACCACCTGTGCTCCCAGCACCACCTGTGCTCCCAGCACCACCTGTGCTCCCAGCACCACCTGTGCTCCCGGCACCACCTGTGCTCCCAGCACCACCTGTGCTCCCGGCACCACCTGTGCTCCCGGCACCATTCCCGTGACCCCTTTTCAGCTGCTGCGGGTTTCCTTAGCAGCGGTGGGTTTCCTTGGCACCACCGCTACCACCACCACCACCGTTGACATCACCACCACCACCGCCACCGCCACCAACCCCGCTGCCACCACCCCCCCTGCCACCACCACTTTGACCACCACTTTTACCACTGCTGCCACCACCACTACCAACACCCCCACCACTACGAGAAGCAACACCACCACGGCTACCACCACCACCCCCACCGCTACCACCACCGCTGCCGCCAGCAGCAGCAGCAGCAGCAGCAGCAGCAGCAGCAGCAGCAGCAGCAGCAGAAGCACAACTGCCACCACCACCACTACCACGATTCCCTGTGCCACCGCTGCCACCACCACCGCCACCGCTGCCACGAGCACGATCACGATCCCCTGTGGCACCGCTGCCACCACTCTTGCCCGGCCCACCACCCCGCCTCCCTCGCCTTGAAAACACCTGATCCTGTGGCGGCAGCTGAACTGCACCACTACCACCCATCTGAACCGCACTACCACCACCCATCCCCATGCCCTGCGGCTTGCTTAAGATCCCATCTCCCCTGATTCCTTCTTCCCAGCCCGCTACTCTTTCTGCCCGCCCCATCGCCCTATCCACTCGCTCCATTGCCCCTGTAGGGCCCATTGCTCCTGCCCGGAACATCTCTCCTTCTGCCCGGCCGATTATTCCTTCTGCCCGGCCGCCGTACGCACTGCCCCCACTCAAATAGACTTCAGGAGGGGGGGCATGCATGGGCGCATAAGGGGGCAGATTCTGGTAACCAGCATCCATACCACCGCCAGGGCCATTCACACCACCAGGACCACCACCCATGCCCATATCACCACCCATACCCATACCACCACCCATACCACCACCAACCATACCCATACCACCACCACTCCCAAAGGAGCTGTTCCCTGTGCCTCTGCTCCCAATGCCACCAGCATACCCGCTAGGCCCCATCCTCGAACCTTCATAGGTGAAACCCGGGCCAGGATCAAGGCTGACTCGCCCAGGGTCAGTGTTGCCCAGGAATGGCCCACTGGTGCTGATGAATGGCTCCGTGTTACGGTTACCAGCGTACGGCTGGCCTGGCAACCCCCCTCCTCCAGAAGCCGCCCTCGTGTCAGACCTTGTGTCAAACCTTGTGTCAAATCGGGTGTCATAGGAGGGAGGCGGTCCAGGGGGGAGTGGGGGACCACCAGAAGTAAAAACAGGAGGAGCAGGAGGAGCAGAGACCGAGGAACCACCAGCAGCACCAACACCAGCAGCAGCAGCAGCAGCAGCAGCAGCAGCAGCACCCCCACCCCCACCGCCACCGTCACGACCACCGCCACCCCCAGGGGCTACAGAAACGTAGGCAGCACTCCCACCAAACCCCCGGGATCCACCGGTATCCCCGCTCTCATAGGAGCTCCCGACTCCACCATATCCACCATAATACCGCCCAGGCTCATATGGCTGCCTGCCCCCTGCCATGCCATCCACACCCCCATCCATGCTCCCATCCCTGCTCCGCACCTCCCTTCCACCTCCGCCCCCTGGGAGGGGAGGCCCAGCTTCTAGGGAAGATCCAAGTCCTCCCCCTAGAGATGACACATTCCCCCCCACGCCAGCTGCATACTCATGCTGCCCCACTGCCTGCCCGATTGTTCCTGAAGCTTGATGCTGTGGCATGATTCCTGGGGTGTTTCGAGGCGTCTCATATTGTAACATGACCCCTTGCTGTGACGTCATGCCTTGCTGCATGCCTTGCTGCATGCCTTGCTGCAACCCCCCTTGCTGCATCATCCTCCCATCCTGCCCTGCCAGCCGCCCATCCTGCCCCACCAGCCGCCCATCCTGCCCCACCAGCCGCCCATCCTGCCCCGCCAGCCGCCCATCCTGCCCCGCCAGCCGCCCATCCTGCCCCGCCAGCCGCCCATCCTGCCCTGCCAGCCGCCCATCGCTGGCGCTCACCAGAATCAGCTGCTCTCCTCTCGCTGCCGCTGCAGCCGCTGCTGCTGCTGGAATGGCCACATACACCACATCCCCTGCCCCTGCACCCGCCATGCCACCAACGGTACCACCTGCTCCCCCACTCGCAATGCCACCACCCCCCATCCCCCCTGCACCACCAACCACCATACCACCCGCAACTCCAGCCATGCCCGTTCCAAGCAGGCTCCCTCTTTGCCCCGTCCCTGCAGGTATGTGAGGTATGTGAGTGTAGGGATCGCCAGGAGGGCCAGATACAGCAGCTGGAGGGCCTTGGGAAGCACCAGGAGTTTGGGAGAAAGTAGGAGCAGGCACAGTGACACCCATTGCACCCGAAGCTGTGAATATAGCTGTAGATGTTCCACCCTGCCCGTACATCAAACCGCCACCACCACCCATTCCCACACCCACACTGCCGCCCACATTGCCGCCCACACCGCCGCCCACTCTGCCACCCACATCCAGAGAGCTAAGAGCTTGGCCCCCAACCCCCGTGGTTTCATAAGCCGTACCACCGTAAGGCGACTCATTATAAGGCGTTCCACCATAAGGCATGTGTGAAAGAGGGGCAGCAGCAGGAGGAGGCATGAGGGTATACGAGGGAGCAGGTGTGTGAGTTACAGGAACAGTCATCACAAGCCGAGCCTCGGGCTTTGGGCTGCGGGGATAATCCCTTTGTCCATCCCTATAGTCACGGTCATTACTGTCACGGGCCCTCTTGCTCCCTGGACTGGGAAATGTAGATGGGTGCAAGCTTCCACTGCCACGCTCGTTATAACCACGCCCCTTCTCCTCCCTCCCCCCGCCCAGATCGTCCTTCCCTCTCTCTCTTCCCCTGTCTCCCCCACTCCTATCCCTCTCCCTCTCCCTCTCCCTCTCCCTACCTCTCTCCCCATCCCTCACACTCCTCCCCCTCTCCCTCTCCTCCCTGTCCCTTTCCTCTCGCCCCCTGCCCCCCTCTCTCTTCTCGTCCCTCCTCTTCTCCTCTCGTCCCCTCTCCTCCCCTCCCTTCTCGTCCCTCCCCAGCCTGTGCCCCCCTGACCTGCTGCTCTCGACCCCCCCAAGCCTGTCCCTCAAGTCACGGCTGTTGAGTCGACTCAAGATCAAGACGAAACCCGGGTTTTGAACGCGCCCCGAGACACAGCCATCACCGCAGTGGGCAGGAGTCAGAAGACAATGTGGGACAGTGGGGGAGAAGGAGATGGAGGGGGGGAAGGGGGGAAGGCAGGAAGGGGAGGGGGATAAGCGAGACAAGCAAACAAAGCAAACAGGAAGCTGAGAAAGGAAAGCTGAGCACAGGAGGCTGAGAGCAGGAGGCTGAGAGCAGGAGGCTGAGAGCAGGAGGCTGAGAGCAGGAGGCTGAGAGCAGGAGGCTGAGAGCAGGAGGCTGAGAGCAGGAGGAGGAGAGCAGGAGGCCGAGAGCAGGAGGCCGAGAGCAGGAGGCCGAGAGCAGGAGGCCGAGAGCAGGAGGCCGAGAGCAGCAGGCCGAGAGCAGGAGGCCGAGAGCAGGAGGCGGAGAGCAGGAGCCGAGAGCAGGAGGCGAGAGCAGGAGGCCGAGAGCAGGAGGCCGAGAGCAGGAGGCCGAGAGCAGGAGGCCGAGAGCAGGAGGCCGAGAGCAGGAGGCCGAGAGCAGGAGGCCGAGAGCAGGAGGCCGAGAGCAGGAGGCCGAGAGCAGGAGGCCGAGAGCAGGAGGCCGAGAGCAGGAGGCCGAGAGCAGGAGGCCGAGAGCAGGAGGCCGAGAGCAGGAGGCCGAGAGCAGGAGGCCGAGAGCAGGAGGCCGAGAGCAGGAGGCCGAGAGCAGGAGGCCGAGAGCAGGAGGCCGAGAGCAGGAGGCCGAGAGCAGGAGGCCGAGAGCAGGAGGCCGAGAGCAGGAGGCCGAGAGCAGGAGGCTGAGAGCAGGAGGCTGAGAGCAGGAGGCTGAGAGCAGGAGGCTGAGAGCAGGAGGCTGAGAGCAGGAGGAGGAGAGCAGGAGGCCGAGAGCAGGAGGCCGAGAGCAGGAGGCCGAGAGCAGCAGGCCGAGAGCAGCAGGCCGAGAGCAGCAGGCTGAGAGCAGGAGGCCGAGAGCAGGAGGCTGAGAGCAGGAGGCCGAGAGCAGGAGGCCGAGAGCAGGAGGCCGAGAGCAGGAGGCCGAGAGCAGGAGGCCGAGAGCAGGAGGCCGAGAGCAGGAGGCCGAGAGCAGGAGGCCGAGAGCAGGAGGCCGAGAGCAGGAGGCCGAGAGCAGGAGGCCGAGAGCAGGAGGCCGAGAGCAGGAGGCCGAGAGCAGGAGGCCGAGAGCAGGAGGCCGAGAGCAGGAGGCCGAGAGCAGGAGGCCGAGAGCAGGAGGCCGAGAGCAGGAGGCGAGAGCAGGAGGCGAGAGCAGGAGGCGGAGGGGGCGAGAGCAGGAGGCCGAGAGCAGGAGGCCGAGAGCAGGAGGCGGAGAGCAGGAGGCGGAGAGCAGGAGGCCGAGAGCAGGAGGCCTGAGAGCAGGAGGCCGAGAGCAGGAGGCCGAGAGCAGGAGGCCGAGAGCAGGAGGCCGAGAGCAGGAGGCGGAGAGCAGGAGGCCGAGAGCAGGAGGCCGAGAGCAGGAGGCCGAGAGCAGGAGGCCGAGAGCAGGAGGCCGAGAGCAGGAGGCCGAGAGCAGGAGGCCGAGAGCAGGAGGCCGAGAGCAGGAGGCCGAGAGCAGGAGGCCGAGAGCAGGAGGCCGAGAGCAGGAGGCCGAGAGCAGGAGGCCGAGAGCAGGAGGCCGAGAGCAGGAGGCCGAGAGCAGGAGGCCGAGAGCAGGAGGCCGAGAGCAGGAGGCCGAGAGCAGGAGGCCGAGAGCAGGAGGCTGAGAGCAGGAGGCTGAGAGCAGGAGGCTGAGAGCAGGAGGCTGAGAGCAGGAGGAGGAGAGCAGGAGGCCGAGAGCAGGAGGCCGAGAGCAGGAGGCCGAGAGCAGCAGGCCGAGAGCAGCAGGCCGAGAGCAGCAGGCTGAGAGCAGGAGGCTGAGAGCAGGAGGCCGAGAGCAGGAGGCTGAGAGCAGGAGGCCGAGAGCAGGAGGCCGAGAGCAGGAGGCCGAGAGCAGGAGGCCGAGAGCAGGAGGCCGAGAGCAGGAGGCCGAGAGCAGGAGGCCGAGAGCAGGAGGCCGAGAGCAGGAGGCCGAGAGCAGGAGGCCGAGAGCAGGAGGCCGAGAGCAGGAGGCCGAGAGCAGGAGGCCGAGAGCAGGAGGCCGAGAGCAGGAGCGAGGCCGAGAGCAGGAGGCCTGAGAGCAGGAGGCCGAGAGCAGGGAGGCTGAGAGCAGGAGGCCGAGAGCAGGAGGCCGAGAGCAGGAGGCCGAGAGCAGGAGGCCGAGAGCAGGAGGCGGAGAGCAGGAGGCGGAGAGCAGGAGGCCGAGAGCAGGAGGCCGAGAGCAGGAGGCCGAGAGCAGGAGGCCGAGAGCAGGAGGCCGAGAGCAGGAGGCGCGAGAGCAGGAGGCGAGAGCAGGAGGCCGAGAGCAGGAGGCCGAGAGCAGGAGGCCGAGAGCAGGAGGCCGAGAGCAGGAGGCCGAGAGCAGGAGGCCGAGAGCAGGAGGCCGAGAGCAGGAGGCCGAGAGCAGGAGGCCGAGAGCAGGAGGCCGAGAGCAGGAGGCCGAGAGCAGGAGGCCGAGAGCAGGAGGCCGAGAGCAGGAGGCCGAGAGCAGGAGGCCGAGAGCAGGAGGCCGAGAGCAGGAGGCCGAGAGCAGGAGGCCGAGAGCAGGAGGCCGAGAGCAGGAGGCCCGAGAGCAGGAGGCGAGAGCAGGAGGCTGAGAGCAGGAGGCTGAGAGCAGGAGGCTGAGAGCAGGAGGCTGAGAGCAGGAGGCCGAGAGCAGGAGGCCGAGAGCAGGAGGCCGAGAGCAGGAGGCCGAGAGCAGGAGGCCGAGAGCAGGAGGCCGAGAGCAGGAGGCCGAGAGCAGGAGGCCGAGAGCAGGAGGCCGAGAGCAGGAGGCCGAGAGCAGGAGGCCGAGAGCAGGAGGCCGAGAGCAGGAGGCCGAGAGCAGGAGGCCGAGAGCAGGAGGCTGAGAGCAGGAGGCTGAGAGCAGGAGGCTGAGAGCAGGAGGCTGAGAGCAGGAGGCTGAGAGCAGGAGGCCGAGAGCAGGAGGCCGAGAGCAGGAGGCCGAGAGCAGGAGGCCGAGAGCAGGAGGCCGAGAGCAGGAGGCCGAGAGCAGGAGGCTGAGAGCAGGAGGCGGAGAGCAGGAGGCTGAGAGCAGGAGGCGGAGAGCAGGAAACATACTGAATTCCAAATATTTAAGCGACACGTGCTGACTCATCTCATCTCACCTGGGCGAGTGCTGTCTCATCTCACCAGGGAGAGCGCTGTCTTCATCTCACCTGTGTGGCGATTGGTGCCGTGTGCGAGTATTACGATGAGACACATCAGCCGCAGCAGGGGGAGAGTAGTGCTTCTCCCCGCAGCAGCGATTCTGAGCACTGCTGCAGGGAGGAGCGCTACTGCAGAGCCAAAATCAGCATGCACGCAAAACCCACCTGGGTGGCGATTGGTGCCGTGTGCGAGTATTACGATGAGACACATCAGCAGCAGGGGGAGAGTAGCGCTTCTCCCGCCCACGGTGACCCCCCGGCTCATCAGCAACAGCAGCAGCGCTCACACCTGCACGGAGGAATGGAATGAGAGCAGAGGAGACGAGAATAACGTAAGGCAGTGCTGAGGTTAGGGGCAGCAAATGCAGGAGACGAGAGGCGCTTCTCCCACCAATGCAGATTGGCAGCAGCAGCAGCGCAAGCACCTGCACGGATGAAACGTGCAAGGTGGTATCCTCCCAAGAAGCACTATGCCAGAGCGGGAGGGGCAGTGCTTGTGGAGTCCATTTGAGGCGCCTCAAAAAAGGACTCATGCCAGGCAGGCAGTATCCTCTCGGGCAGTATCCTCTCGGGCAGTATCCTCACAGGCAGTATCCTCTCGGGCAGTATCCTCTCGGGCAGTATCCTCCCCGGAAGCACTATGCCAGACCAGGAGGGGCAGTGCTTGTGCAAGTGGCCTGGCTGGTTGCACCCAAGAGCACCTGAAGCAGCACCGGGAAAACTCACCAGCAACAGTAGGGCAGTCCTTGGGCACGTGTCCCCGCTGGGTGCAGCTAAAGCACCTGGCGTGGCTTCTAGGCGCCTCTAGCATCAAGCCAGCGCCGGGCATTGGGCCAGCCACCTCACCAGGGAGCATCATTCCAGGTAGCAACGTCCCATCCCAGGACTCATGCCAGGCAGTATCCTCCCAGGCAGTATCCTCCCCGGAAGCACTATGCCAGAGCAGGAGGGGTAGTGCTTGTGCAAGTGGTTCAGATGGTAGCACCCGAAGCACCCGAAGCAGAACCAAGAGCATCCTCACCAGCAACAGTAGGGCAGTCCTTGAGCACATGTCCAGGTTCGTTGCACCCAAGAGGAGCCTCACCTGTGGGAGCCAAGAGAACCTAGAGCAGCCTTACCAGCAACAGTAGGGCAGTCCTTGAGCACATGTCCAGGTTCGTTGCACCCAAGAGGAGCCTCACCTGTGGGAGCCAAGAGAACCTAGAGCAGCCTTACCAGCAACAGTAGGGCAGTCCTTGAGCACATGTCCAGGTTCGTTGCACCCAAGAGGAGCCTCACCTGTGGGAGCCAAGAGAACCTAGAGCAGCCTTACCAGCAACAGTAGGGCAGTCCTTGAGCACATGTCCAGGTTCGTTGCACCCAAGAGGAGCCTCACCTGTGGGAGCCAAGAGAACCTAGAGCAGCCTTACCAGCAACAGTAGGGCAGTCCTTGAGCACATGTCCAGGTTCGTTGCACCCAAGAGGAGCCTCACCTGTGGGAGCCAAGAGAACCTAGAGCAGCCTTACCAGCGACAGTAGGACAGTCCTTGAGCACATGTCCAGGTTCGTTGCACCCAAGAGGAGCCTCACCTGTGGGAGCCAAGAGAACCTAGAGCAGCCTTACCAGCGACAGTAGGGCAGTCCTTGAGCACATGTCCAGGTTCGTTGCACCCAAGAGGAGCCTCACCTGTGGGAGCCAAGAGAACCTAGAGCAGCCTTACCAGCAACAGTAGGGCAGTCCTTGAGCACATGTCCAGGTTCGTTGCACCCAAGAGGAGCCTCACCTGTGGGAGCCAAGAGAACCTAGAGCAGCCTTACCAGCAACAGTAGGGCAGTCCTTGAGCACATGTCCAGGTTCGTTGCACCCAAGAGGAGCCTCACCTGTGGGAGCCAAGAGAACCTAGAGCAGCCTTACCAGCAACAGTAGGGCAGTCCTTGAGCACATGTCCAGGTTCGTTGCACCCAAGAGGAGCCTCACCTGTGGGAGCCAAGAGAACCTAGAGCAGCCTTACCAGCGACAGTAGGGCAGTCCTTGAGCACATGTCCCGGCATGTTGCACCCGAAGCACCTGGTGTGGCTTCTGGACGCCTCTAACATGTCCCCAGCGCCGGGCATTGTGCCGCCAGCCATCGCCCCAACCATCGCACCAGGTAGCATCATGCCAGGAGGAGTCATGGCAGCCCGGAAGGGGCAGTGCTTGTGCAAGTGGCCCGGCTGGTTGCAGCCGAAGCACATGAGCTGCGACTGCTGCTGCGGGCAGTCCTTGGAGAGGTGGCCGTACAACCCGCAGCTGAAGCAGCGGGGAGAGGCGTCGCCCTTGCTGGGCTGCAAGGGGAAAGGGAAAGAAGGGGAGAGAAACGGATATGATAAGTGAGGTGAACGCACTTTAGCTGTGACTGTTTCTGAAGCAGTGGAGGTAGGTGAGGTGAAGGGAAATTCCTTGGAAAGCTGGTCGTATACCCACAGCACAGCTGAAGCAGTGGAGAGAGGCTTAGTTCCTGGTGGCTTGCAGGCGCGAGGTGGGGGGGAGGGAAGGGAGGAAGGGGGGGATGTGGGGGGGGGAAGGGAGGAAGGGGGGGGTGTGGGGGGGGATGGGCGAGGTAGGTAGGAGGAATGGAAAGGCGCAGAAAGAGCAGCTGAGTAGGTAACCTGGTTGGTTGCAGCAAGCCATAGCCACATGCACTAGGAGCAGCCACGAAACAGAACCAGCAACCCTACCCACAATTGCCATAATCCACGGACTCCTTCTGACACACTTATTCCTTCTGACATGTCGACCACAATCCTTGCGCCGTCCAACTCCAGGCTGTCAAAACACGCAATAGCGACAACCACATAATACCTTCACAATCACCATCCTTCACCTACCCCTTTTGACATCTCCACCCACGACAATCCTCGCTCCATCCACCACCGTGCCATCGCAAGATGCGCCAACCATATGTATGCACAATCACCACAATCACCACAGGCACCATCCTGCACTCACCCCTTTTGACATCTCGACCACAATCCTTGCTCCATCCACCACCGTGCCATTGCACCGCCGCTGGGCTTCCTGGGCGTCCCTCGCATTCCCAAACTCCTGCCAGCACGGAAACAACAGGAGGATGGGGATCACTGAATTTCAGGTGCCTGAGAAACAGCTCCATCCACCACTGTGCCATCCCACTGCTGCTGGGCTTCCTGGGCGTCCCTCGCATTCCCAAACTCCTGCCAGCACGGAAACAACAGGAGGATGGGGATCACCGAATTTCAGGTGCCTGAGAAACAGCTCCATCCACCACTGTGCCATCCCACTGCTGCTGGGCTTCCTGGGCGTCCCTCGCATTCCCAAACTCCTGCCAGCACGGAGACAACAGGAGGATGGGGATCACCGAATTTCAGGTGCCTGAGAAACAGCTCCATCCACCACTGTGCCATCCCACTGCTGCTGGGCTTCCTGGGCGTCCCTCGCATTCCCAAACTCCAACCAGCACGGAAACAGCCGCAGGCAGCGACAACAGTAGGAAGGGGATCACCGAATTCTAGGCGCATCAGAAACAGCTCCATCCGCCACCGTGCCATCGCACCACCATGGCATCGCACCGCCGCTGGGCTTCCCTCGCATTCCCAAACTCCTGTCAGCACCTCGACACAGTAGGAAGGGAACGGTGTTGAGGGAATGGCGCATCAGCACCGCCATTGAGACTGGTGCGACATCAGGATCAGCTCCATCCACCAACGTGTCATTGCACCGCCGTTGCGACTAGTGCGGCTGGGCTGGTGGACAGAGAATGGGATGAAGTGAGTGCGGGGAAGGAGGACAGGAGGGCGCATGGAAGGGACCGAGAGGATGGATTCTGCTGCTGCTGCTGCTGCTGTTGCTGCTGCTGCTGCTGCTGCTGTTGCTGCTGCTGCTGCTGCTGCTGTTGCTGCTGCGGTTGCGGTTGCTGCCGCGGCTGCTGTCGCTGCAGTCGTAGTTGCTGGAGCATGCAACGGTTGCTGCGACGGAAAGTGGAGCAGGAGGTTGATGGAAGATGGCAGCGGAAGAGCGCCAAGAGGCAGAGGAGGTGCACCGGGGAAAGGCGGGACGAGGGTTTGCAGGAGAAGGGGTCCACCGTGAGTGGAGTGGACAGTGGGTGGAGTGGACAGTGGGTGGAGTGGACAGTGGGTGGAGTGGACAGCGGGTGGAGTGGACAGCGGGTGGAGTGGACAGTGGGTGGAGTGGACAGTGGGTGGAGTGGACAGTGGGTGGAGTGGACAGTGGGTGGAGTGGACAGTGGGTGGAGTGGACAGCGGGTGGAGTGGACAGTGGGTGGAGTGGACAGTGGGTGGAGTGGACAGTGGGTGGAGTGGACAGTGGGTGGAGTGGACAGCGGGTGGAGTGGACAGTGGGTGGAGTGGACAGTGGGTGGAGTGGACTGTGGGTGGAGTGGACAGTGGGTGGAGTGGACAGTGGGTGGAGTGGACTGTGGGTGGAGTGGACAGTGGGTGGAGTGGACAGCGGGTGGAGTGGACAGTGGGTGGAGTGGACAGTGGGTGGAGTGGACAGTGGGTGGAGTGGACTGTGGGTGGAGTGGACAGTGGGTGGAGTGGACAGTGGGTGGAGTGGACAGTGGGTGGAGTGGACAGTGGGTGGAGTGGACAGTGGGTGGAGTGGACAGTGGGTGGAGTGGACAGTGGGTGGAGTGGACAGTGGGTGGAGTGGACAGTGGGTGGAGTGGACAGTGGGTGGAGTGGACAGTGGGTGGAGTGGACTGTGGGTGGAGTGGACAGTGGGTGGAGTGGACAGTGGGTGGAGTGGACAGCGGGTGGAGTGGACAGTGGGTGGAGTGGACAGTGGGTGGAGTGGACTGTGGGTGGAGTGGACAGTGGGTGGAGTGGACAGTGGGTGGAGTGGACAGCGGGTGGAGTGGACAGTGGGTGGAGTGGACAGTGGGTGGAGTGGACTGTGGGTGGAGTGGGCAGTGGGGTGGAGTGGACAGTGGGTGGAGTGGACTGTGGGTGGGAGTGGACAGTGGTGGGTGGAGTGGACATAGTGCGGGTGGAGTGGACTGTGGGGGGGGTGGGGTTGGAGTGGACAGTGGGTGGAGTGGACAGCGGGTGGAGTGGACAGTGGGTGGAGTGGACAGTGGGTGGGAGTGGACAGTGGGTGGAGTGGACAGGGTGGAGTGGAAGTGTGACAGTGGGGTGGGAAGTGGATACAGTTGGATGTGGGAGTGGACAGTGGTGGGTGGAGTAGTGGACAGTGGGTGGGAGTGGACAGTGGGGTGGAGTGGACAGTGGGTGGAAGTGGAACAGTGGGTGGAGAAAGTGGGACAGTGGGTAGGAAGTTGAACAAGTGGGTGGAGTGGACAGTGGAGTGGACAGTGGGTGGAGTGGACAGTGGGTGGAGTGGACAGTGGGTGGAGTGGACAGTGGGTGGAGTGGACAGTGGGTGGAGTGGACAGTGGGTGGAGTGGACAGTGGGTGGAGTGGACAGTGGGTGGAGTGGACAGTGGGTGGAGTGGACAGTGGGTGGAGTGGACAGTGGGTGGAGTGGACTGTGGGTGGAGTGGACAGTGGGTGGAGTGGACAGTGGGTGGAGTGGACAGTGGGTGGAGTGGACAGTGGGTGGAGTGGACAGTGGGTGGAGTGGACAGTGGGTGGAGTGGACAGTGGGTGGAGTGGACAGTGGGTGGAGTGGACAGTGGGTGGAGTGGACAGTGGGTGGAGTGGACAGTGGGTGGAGTGGACAGTGGGTGGAGTGGACAGTGGGTGGAGTGGACAGTGGGTGGAGTGGACAGTGGGTGGAGTGGACAGTGGGTGGAGTGGACAGTGGGTGGAGTGGACAGTGGGTGGAGTGGACAGTGGGTGGAGTGGACAGTGGGTGGAGTGGACAGTGGGTGGAGTGGACAGTGGTGGAGTGGACAGTGGGTGGAGTGGACAGTGGGTGGAGTGGACAGTGGGTGGAGTGGACAGTGGGTGGAGTGGACAGTGGGTGGAGTGGACAGTGGGTGGAGTGGACAGCGGGTGGAGTGGACAGTGGGTGGAGTGGACAGTGGGTGGAGTGGACAGTGGGTGGAGTGGACAGTGGGTGGAGTGGACAGTGGGTGGAGTGGACAGTGGGTGGAGTGGACAGTGGGTGGAGTGGACAGTGGGTGGAGTGGACAGTGGGTGGAGTGGACAGTGGGTGGAGTGGACAGTGGGTGGAGTGGACAGTGGGTGGAGTGGACAGTGGGTGGAGTGGACAGTGGGTGGAGTGGACAGTGGGTGGAGTGGACAGTGGGGGGAGTGGACAGTGGGTGGAGTGGACAGTGGGTGGAGTGGACAGTGGGTGGAGTGGACAGTGGGTGGAGTGGACAGTGGGTGGAGTGGACAGTGGGTGGAGTGGACAGTGGGTGGAGTGGACAGTGGGTAAAGTGGACAGTGGGTGGAGCGGACAGTGGGTGGAGTGGACAGTGGGTGGAGTGGACAGTGGGTGGAGTGGACAGTGGGTGGAGCGGACAGTGGGTGGAGTGGACAGTGGGTGGAGTGGACAGTGGGTGGAGCGGACAGTGGGTGGAGTGGACAGTGGGTGGAGTGGACAGTGGGTGGAGTGGACAGTGGGTGGAGCGGACAGTGGGTGGAGTGGACAGTGGGTGGAGTGGACAGTGGGTGGAGTGGACAGTGGGTGGAGTGGACAGTGGGTGGAGTGGACAGTGAGTGGAGTGGACAGTGGGTGGAGTGGACAGTGGGTGGAGTGGACAGTGGGTGGAGTGGACAGTGGGTGGAGTGGACAGTGGGTGGAGTGGACAGTGGGTGGAGTGGACAGTGGGTGGAGTGGACAGTGGGTGGAGTGGACAGTGGGTGGAGTGGACAGTGGGTGGAGTGGACAGTGGGTGGAGTGGACAGTGGGTGGAGTGGACAGTGGGTGGAGTGGACAGTGGGTGGAGTGGACAGTGGGTGGAGTGGACAGTGGGTGGAGTGGACAGTGGGTGGAGTGGACAGTGGGTGGAGTGGACAGTGGGTGGAGTGGACAGTGGGTGGAGTGGACAGTGGGTGGAGTGGACAGTGGGTGGAGTGGACAGTGGGTGGAGTGGACAGTGGGTGGAGTGGACAGTGGGTGGAGTGGACAGTGGGTGGAGTGGACAGTGGGTGGAGTGGACAGTGGGTGGAGTGGACAGTGGGTGGAGTGGACAGTGGGTGGAGTGGACAGTGGGTGGAGTGGACAGTGGGTGGAGTGGACAGTGGGTGGAGTGGACAGTGGGTGGAGTGGACAGTGGGTGGAGTGGACAGTGGGTGGAGTGGACAGTGGGTGGAGTGGACAGTGGGTGGAGTGGACAGTGGGTGGAGTGGACAGTGGGTGGAGTGGACAGTGGGTGGAGTGGACAGTGGGTGGAGTGGACAGTGGGTGGAGTGGACAGTGGGTGGAGTGGACAGTGGGTGGAGTGGACAGTGGGTGGAGTGGACAGTGGGTGGAGTGGACAGTGGGTGGAGTGGACAGTGGGTGGAGTGGACAGTGGGTGGAGTGGACAGTGGGTGGAGTGGACAGTGGGTGGAGTGGACAGTGGGTGGAGTGGACAGTGGGTGGAGTGGACAGTGGGTGGAGTGGACAGTGGGTGGAGTGGACAGTGGGTGGAGTGGACAGTGGGTGGAGTGGACAGTGGGTGGAGTGGACAGTGGGTGGAGTGGACAGTGGGTGGAGTGGACAGTGGGTGGAGTGGACAGTGGGTGGAGTGGACAGTGGGTGGAGTGGACAGTGGGTGGAGTGGACAGTGGGTGGAGTGGACAGTGGGTGGAGTGGACAGTGGGTGGAGTGGACAGTGGGTGGAGTGGACAGTGGGTGGAGTGGACAGTGGGTGGAGTGGACAGTGGGTGGAGTGGACAGTGGGTGGAGTGGACAGTGGGTGGAGTGGACAGTGGGTGGAGTGGACAGTGGGTGGAGTGGACAGTGGGTGGAGTGGACAGTGGGTGGAGTGGACAGTGGGTGGAGTGGACAGTGGGTGGAGTGGACAGTGGGTGGAGTGGACAGTGGGTGGAGTGGACAGTGGGTGGAGTGGACAGTGGGTGGAGTGGACAGTGGGTGGAGTGGACAGTGGGTGGAGTGGACAGTGGGTGGAGTGGACAGTGGGTGGAGTGGACAGTGGGTGGAGTGGACAGTGGGTGGAGTGGACAGTGGGTGGAGTGGACAGTGGGTGGAGTGGACAGTGGGTGGAGTGGACAGTGGGTGGAGTGGACAGTGGGTGGAGTGGACAGTGGGTGGAGTGGACAGTGGGTGGAGTGGACAGTGGGTGGAGTGGACAGTGGGTGGAGTGGACAGTGGGTGGAGTGGACAGTGGGTGGAGTGGACAGTGGGTGGAGTGGACAGTGGGTGGAGTGGACAGTGGGTGGAGTGGACAGTGGGTGGAGTGGACAGTGGGTGGAGTGGACAGTGGGTGGAGTGGACAGTGGGTGGAGTGGACAGTGGGTGGAGTGGACAGTGGGTGGAGTGGACAGTGGGTGGAGTGGACAGTGGTGTGGAGTGGACAGTGGGTGGAGTGGACAGTGGGTGGAGTGGACAGTGGGTGGAGTGGACAGTGGGTGGAGTGGACAGTGGGTGGAGTGGACAGTGGGTGGAGTGGACAGTGGGTGGAGTGGACAGTGGGTGGAGTGGACAGTGGGTGGAGTGGACAGTGGGTGGAGTGGACAGTGGGTGGATGTGGACAGTGGGTGGAGTGGACAGTGGGTGGAGTGGACAGTGGGTGGAGTGGACAGTGGGTGGAGTGGACAGTGGGTGGAGTGGACAGTGGGTGGAGTGGACAGTGGGTGGAGTGGACAGTGGGTGGAGTGGGACAGTGGGTTGGAGTGGACAGTGGGTGGAGTGGACAGTGGGTGGAGTGGGACAGTGGGTGGAGTGGACAGTGGGTGGAGTGGACAGTGGGTGGAGTGGACAGTGGGTGGAGTGGACAGTGGGTGGAGTGGGACAGTGGGTGGAGTGGACAGTGGGTGGAGTGGACAGTGGGTGGAGTGGGACAGTGGGTGGAGTGGACAGTGGGGGGGGGGGGGGGTGGGAGTGGACGTGGGTGGAGTGGACAGTGGGTGGAGTGGAGTGGGTGGAGTGGACAGTGGGGTGGAGTGGACAGTGGGTGGAGTGGACAGTGGGGTGGAGTGGGACAGTGGGGTGGAGTGGACAGTGGGTGGAGTGGACAGTGGGGTGGAAGTGGACAGTGGGTGGAGTGGACGGGGGGTGGACAGTGGGTGGAGTGGACAGTGGGTGGAGTGGACAGTGGGTGGAGTGGACAGTGGGTGGAGTGGACAGTGGGTGGAGTGGACAGTGGGTGGAGTGGACAGTGGGTGGAGTGGACAGTGGGTGGAGTGGACTGTGGGTGGAGTGGACAGTGGGTGGAGTGGACAGTGAGTGGAGTGGACTGTGGGTGGAGTGGACAGTGGGTGGAGTGGACTGTGGAGGAGCAGTGTCGAGATAGAGAGGAAAAGGGGGAGTGGGTTCCAGGGAGGAGGAACAGGGGGTTGACGCCACCAGGGGCAAGAGGCAGATGCAACAGGAGGTTGACGCCACCAGATGCCTCTTGCCTTCCCGCAAGAGGTGCATCACGGGAAGGCGGAAAAGGAGGAGCAGGAGGTGCCACCCCTTCCCTGCTGGCGCTGCAGGGGTGCGCAAAATGAGTGAGCAAGGAAGGAGGAGCACGATGTTGAAGATGTCAGCGGAAGAGAGTCCAGAGGTGGTGGACCCACCCACGGGGGTGGTGGAGATGAGGCGGCTGTGAACGATGAGGCACCAAGCGGTTCTGGAAATCTCACAGATGTGCCTCGCAAACGACGACGAAACGGGAGCGTCGAATTTCGAACAGCGGAAAGAGACAGAGGAGCTTGGTGTTGGTTATCGACACGGATGAAGAGACAGCGATGGCCGTTGCAAGTGGATATGGCGTCTGGCCCCATAGTCAATGTCGAAGAGGAAGCAGCGATGGCCGTTGCAAGTGGGTTAAGGAATCGATCACCCCATAGTCAATGCGGACGAGGAGGTAGCGGTGGCCGTTGCAAGTGAATATGGCGTCAGGCCCCACAGTCAATGTCGAAGAGGAAGCAGTGATGGCGGTTGCTAGTGGGTTTAGGCGTCTGGCCCCATAGTCAATGTGAACGGGGAGGTAGCGATGGCCGTTGCAAGTGGTTTTCGAAGTCTGCCCCATAGACATTACGGATGATGTGGGCAAGGGCGAGGGGGACTCCACGGAAATGCTTGATTCGAGCTTGTCGCCACTCACGGTGGAGAAGGGAGGGGCGAGTGAGGGTGGTAAGGGTGGTAGGTTGGGGGGAAGAGTGCGGAAGTAGACATGTGGAGAATGTAGTATATCGAGGCTGGTATTGTTGGGATGGCCTAGGCAGGCAGCGATGCAGAAGGATGGCACGGTGATGGAAAGGCCGGGAACGGAATGATTCTTAAGTCGACGTGGGAACGGCCCAGGCAGTGAAGGGGGAGGAGGTGGCACGGTGATGATGGAGAAGGGAGAAGGATGGCACGGTGACGGCGAAACCGGGAGGGAGAAAGATGATTTCTTAGTCGACTCAAAAACGGCCCAGGCGGTGAAGGAGGAGGAGGAGGTGGCATGGTGACGTGACGGTGAAGACGGGAGAGGGGGAGGGGGAGGGGAGGGGGAGACTCCAATAGGGAGAGGGGGACGGAGTGGGAGAGGGGGTGTAGGAGAGGAAGATTGACCGCATGGAGAATGATTGAGAACCCATGCAAGCGTCTTACCACAAAGTCAAAGTCCGACTTGAGGTCCACCTCCTCCGTAGCCTTAGTGACTGAACGCTTGAAGGCGGATACTTGGCATCCAAGGGAAATGGCCTAGCCAATGATGCTTGCACGAGTCTTACCACAAAGGCAAAGTCGGTCTTCAGATCAACTCTCTTCACCCTGCGGTGGGTGGGTGGGTGGTTGGCCCGGGGTAATACGCACGGCCAGACGTCCAGGCAGCGCCGGAACGAGAAGCCAGCAACGCCACGGCAACAGGCGCCACGCCATAAGAACAGGCGTCCATGCAGCCGCCCACGCAGCCGCCCAGACAGCGCCAGTGCAAGTCGACGGGCACACCAAGGCAGCAGGCGCCACACCACAAGGATAGCCGCCCAAGCAGCCGCCCAAACAGCCGCCCAAGCAACGCACGTGTTCCAAGCATGACGCAGCGCCCGTTTGAAGGCGGCAACACGGCGGCAGCAGGAACCGACAGGGCAGCAGCAGGGGGCCACGAGGCAGCAACAGCAGCAGGCGTCCATCGAGCAGAAGCAGGCGCAGAACCACAGCACAGATGCAGTGACGCCACAGCAGGTGCAATGACAGACGTCCACAGACGTCCACAGATTGGGGGGAGTGGGAGGAGGCGGATCGGAAAGAGAGAAGAGAAGAGAAGAGAAGAGGAGAGAAGGGGTTGAGGGGGATGGTCGGGGAGCGAGCGGGAGAGAGGGAGATGGAGAGGAAGAGAGGGAGGGGGAGAAGACGACGCGGAAGGAGAAGGAGAGATGGGCGAAGGAGGAGGAAGTGGAGACAGGAGGAGGGAGGGAAGGGAGGGAGAGGAAAAGGGAGAGGAAAAATGAAGGAGGAAGGCAAGGAGAGGGGAGTGGAAGACCCACCCAGTCACTTAGACGGAATGGACCGGAGTGGAGAGAGGGTGGAATGCGGGAGAGAGGCAGAGGCGGAAGGGGGGGGGCAGGCAGCAGGGTGAACCGTGAAAGTACAGGGGGGGGATCCCAGGGAGCCAGGGAGGCAGGCAGTTGTATTTTGAGTCGACTCAAAATACAGCGGGAGAGAGGGAGAGGGGGGGGGGGCAGCAGGGTGAACCGTGAGGGTACAGGGGGGGGATCCCAGGGAGCCAGGGAGGCAGGCAGCCACACATGCCTTCACAGACATGCAGGAGAAGTGAGAGACGAAGGTGAGTTGAGGTTGAGGGAGGCACAAACGGAGGATGGTGAGGTGATGCACGAGATAATATATTCACGTGCCCGGGCGTTAAGTTGCTGGCCCTGTCGGAAAAGGGCAGTTGCGCCGTGCCACGTAGTAATCACTGCTCCCAACCCAACTTCGCTTGGCGTGAGCAGGCAGGGGACATGGACAGCCGACCACTGCTTTTGAGTCGACTCAGAAGGCCCGGGACATGGAGAGCCGACCACTGCTTTTGAGTCGACTCAGAAGGCCCGGGACATGGAGAGCCGACCACTCCAGCTCCAGAATACGCGATACAAGTATTCTGGAGCTGATACAAGTACGCGGTACAAGCAGGACCCGGGACGGGGGGTCCAGCATCAGGAGCCAGGGCTTGACGGCCGGGATTTGACGCCAGGCAAGGAGGGCAGGATCCGACGCGCCAGAATGAAACACGAGTCACGACCGTTGGTGATGGCCCGGATAAGCACCTTGGGAGTCATGCTTTAAGTTGCTGGGCTTGAACAACTTAAATTGTCCAACAACTTAAAATACTGTAAGTCGTTTAGGGACAATGTTGAGAGGTGAGTCGGAAAAATCTCGCCTCATGTGGAGCGCTGAAGCAAGGCCTCTCGCAGCAGCATGAAACGGCTGAGCAGCTGATTGGTCGGCGACGCCTGTATTTTTTTTTTAGCCTCAAAATTGAGCAGGTGATTGGTCGGCGACGCCTGTAACTCCTTTTTTCCACCAAATTCGTAACGTGAAACTCAGGGGAAGGTCTGGAGCGGGTTACCACGCCGATAAGCCCGTGGCGCTTTAGAAAAATTCGCAAGCTTACACTAGCAAGCTGTTGAACAGTATCAAGCTAGGAACTTCAAGGAAATAGTACGGCGCAGATCGGTGAAAAGGGATAGAATGGTTGTTTGAAAGCACGCACTTTCCGTATTTGGAGAAGAGGTCTTCCAGGTCGTGCATTCGCGTGCGCGTCGACAAGCGGCCGACATAGATCCGGCACGCCTCGCGAGCGTCGACTTCCATGGCTGACAAACGGTGGAGATTGGGCGACAGTCGGAGGAGAGGAGTTTCTACGCTGCACGGCACGCGTGATCGTTTTTACTTCTTAGTCGACAAAACCGTTCCACGGGGTCAGTCGACAAGTCTTTTTTCAAGACTAAAAGCCGGAATGTTGACGGCGGCACTATTCTGTGGGATGATGGCTGTTCTAGTTAGACAATCTAGATTCTAGATCCCCCGGCAAAGGCGGCCGTGAATATGCCTGACCATAAGGGGTGAAATGTGGCGCGGGAGCTGAGGGCTGGGCTGGGCAGGCGGATAGTTCAAAGGGGGTTGGGAAAGGTTCCGACTGATTGGAAGCTCAACTAAGGGCGCGGGACATCCGACTCGTAATATCGATAACGGTATGCATTTCAGGGTCAGTACTGCGTTCGCCGATTTTCGTAAGCGCATTTCGCGTGAAGGCAAAATTCCTCGCCCAAATCATAACGGCGATGGAACATGCGTCACGAATTCACCCGTTCGAACGACCACCCCGCCACGTACGAGCTGCCTACCCTGTTGGCGGTTGGCGAACTCACGAAAATCTGCCGCGAAAACAATTGTCGCACAGCCAAACTTCAGATTGACGAGCCGCGGGGTGTTCGCGACGCTATGTATGCTGGCGAAACGTCTCTAAGTTTCGCGCAAATTCGAAACAAGGAGTTCGAATTTCACAACTTTGAACGTCACAGGTTGGCACCTACCAACATGCATGATTCGGCAGGTGGTTCGAACCATCGCTGGAATGGTTCGTACTGCCCAAAAATACGTAATGGTTCGGAATTTGGCGTAACGCAACCGATGTCCCGCGCCCTAAGGTTGCAGAAAAGCGCCTGTTTCGAAGCCTGATGATTTTGACTCAGTTTACGTCTGGTTACCAGGATCACCTTCTGAACCTCGCGGAGTACCGTGTTTCACCGATGTAGCTTGATGAAGCGTACTAGAACATCAATCTCAACCGAAAAGTTTCAGTATCGTTGCAGTTTTAAACACAAGCGTGCACCTCCTCGTGGTTCGATTCAGAGTCTCATGTCGACATCATCTCGAAACGGTCAAGGGGGTCAGACAATTTAGTCTCGTGGTCGAGCTGATCTGCGAACAACCTTGTTACAACAATACTACATTTGGAGTTTTGAAGGTCGCTCAAGATTGTTACCCAGACCGTCGTTATCCATCCCTGCGACTAGCTGGTTGGTTGATATCCAAACGTGGATAGAACCTGAAAGCTGACCACCATATGATACTCCTTCTCTAGGTGTGGGGTGATGACCTCAGTTAGTTCGTAGTCTGCAGGATCCTTATTCCATGTTCCTAGTCTTATCCTAGCTCTTGTGAGGTTTTCACAATTCTCCGTTCAACCGGTCTTCGTGTGAGTGTTAGTCGTTAAAGTTCTGTTTTCCTTTCACCCTTATAAAGCAGTAGCAGCTGACTGACTTCACCAAATATCCGCGCTACCGTCAGCATCGAGCGACAATGGGGAACGCGCAAGGCCGCGATAAGGGTCGCAGCAGCATGGAAGGGCGACCGGTGCCTGAGAGCGGGCGACGATTGGCGTCGCGGCTGGGTCGATCGCACTCCAACGACTCCATGGGGAACAGCCCGCCTGACAGCCCTAGCGGCGCTGCGAGGTCGCCGCTCATGTTCACTCCGCAAGTGAGGCTTCGCTAATGATCACTCGCATCTGCGCCTAGTTGAGGAATTATTATATTCATTCCCCCCGAGATAATCGACTCCATGGGGACTGCCCTATGACAGCCCGCGTGACAGCCCTAGCGCCGCTGCGAATTCCCCGCTTATGTTCACTCCGCCGGTGAGTCTGCTCATGTCCGTTCCCCATACGAATCGAGTTGAGAATTACATCGACCTCCTGACAACCCTACCGGCGTTCGCTCTGAACGTCAGTTAGGGTGTGTTTGGTGAAGCGAAAGCGAATTTTTTGAATCAATTTTACGACGAACAGCCCGCCTGACAGCCCTAGCGGTGCTGCCAGGTCTCCGTCTGTGCCATGTTTACTCCGCAGGTCAGTCAAGGTGTGCTCAGGTGCGCCCGAACTTTCCAGAGGTCCGCCAGGAACTTGCAACTGTGTGTTAGGTGGACCGTGAAAGTTTTTTAGGGAGGCGATTTTGATCTTCTGGACAACTCATACCTCCGTTTTCAAATGTGCAGATTCCCATGGCACCTATCCCCAAGGCGGATGAGCTGTCTCTGGGGTCAGGCTTTGGAGGGTATGGCGGTGATGGTGCGGGAGGGCCTGGGGCGGACGGGGAGCAAGGAGTGCCGACACTCATCACATGGACGCATGGAGGCAACCACGTGTCAGTGGATGGGTCATGGGACAACTGGACGACAAGGTATGTGCATACCCCTCAAACTGTTCAGTGTGTGTAGTGGATGCTAGTGGTGTCAAGGAATCGTTGGCTGATTAACTGGCTGCCATCACACCAGGCTCATGAACCACGTCATCAGCCAAGAACTGCAATGCCATAATACAACAGCCAACAACATAATAAGACAGAGAGTGTTATGCATTATTGGCAACTGTTTTGCAAGCTCGTTTTGCTGTCCCCTTCAGGCAAGTTTTGCAGCGTGCTGGCAAGGACTTCACAATTGTCAAGATGCTGCCTCCTGGGGTTTACCAGTACAAGTTCATTGTGGATGATGTGTGGCGGTATGCGCCTGACCTCCCAGCTGTGTACGACGAGATGGGAAACGTGAACAACGTTTTGGAAGTGCAGGTATGTTGTCCCTGGCTTATGGTATTTACACTTGTGGTGCAATAACAGTTGTTGCTGACTGACGCGGGTTTCCTTGCGATCTCTCTGCAGGAGTATGTGCCGGAAAACCTTGACAATGTAGCAGGATTTGAACCTCCCCGGTCTCCTGTCTCCAGCTACAATGACCCCTTTCCTGTTCCTGAAGATTTTGCCAAAGAGCCACCCCTCCTTCCGCCTCATCTCCAGCTCACCCTCCTCAACGTTCCTGTTGCCGGTGATGCTCCCACGACATTGCCTCGGCCGCAGCATGTCATTTTGAACCATCTGTATGTGGAGAAAGGTAAAGCAGCAAGGTCGGTGCTTGCTCTCGGGTTGACGCATCGGTTCCGCTCCAAGTATGTCACTCTTGTCTTGTACAAGCCACTCCATAGGTGATGTGACAAACTGGCACTCTCTGTACAGTTATGTGCATCTGTTCTTCGCTTGATTCCAGTTTTTGCTAGCAGTTTCAGCCAAATTCTGTTTAGGAACTTATGTCAGTTCAGTGCTGATGTTTCAGTCTTGGATTTCTTGGCCTATCTGATAAGTCATCACTGGAGAAACACTAGTGCGCTTATGGATAAGAAACTGAGCCTGGAACGTAGAAAATATGCGCATTACACAGGTTATGTGGTCATTGATCCCAATCCGCACTACATCTCCATCTCATGTCTATTCTAGACAGCAGACCCTTCCCCTGCCGACACAGCCTACCTCTAAGAGCTGGTAGGCCTATCTGCAGGGGAACATGTAAGCCCCTCATCATTAGACACAGATTAAAAACCATGCATCTTTATGAGGTCCTTCTTCGCAATACCGGCCTGGATGAGGAACTGAGAAACGTTCTTCCGCTGGTCGCCCTGGAGCTGAATGACCTGCAATATATGAAAGGCAAACAGACGTTCAGAAAGCCGAACATATAGCCGATTGAACCGCGACGAGAAACCGAATACCAACCTGACCCAGTTCGATGTCTTGAACGACAGTTCCGTTGCAACAAAACTCCTGTGAAGATAAACAGAACCCCCCAAATTAGCCATCCACTGATGTATAAGCATCCGATCACGGCGTTAAAAAAAAGGCTCTTACCTTCTTGAAATCTTTCAAAATCTTGTTGTAATTAAACTCCTTATTCAAGCCTTGAACAGTCGTCAGGCTCTTACGACCATTCCGTTGCTGGATACGGATATGGACGTAGTCCTTAGTTCCAGCTCCAGGATCATCAGCAGCATTCGCGTCGGCAAACGGGTCTGCAAGCAGGTATATGAACGGTCAAGACAAGCCCTACACATAAAAAAAGACGGACAGAAGGAAGCTAAGCTGAACGACAGCAACATGCTCTGCACATACCGAAGGCCCCAGGAACCTCGAGTTCTAGATCGGACATGAACGAAGGATGGAAGAAGAGACTTGGTAACTGAAGGGAGGTCGCGGTCGCTGAGGAATCTGGATAAAGACGATGACAAACCCTAGCAGAAGTTCCTGGAGGAATATGAGCTGGGATGAGGCTGGCTGGTAGCAGAACTGAACGTTTCGAGGCTTTCTTGCTTCAGTCTATGGATTTATCTGATCTCTGGTTTGGAGGGAAGGAGGGGTGAACGGTCACCTTCTCGAACAACTTTCTTCGCGGCGGGCAGATCTCTGTTTCGTGCAACGCGGTGATGGCGTAGAGGGGAAGCGTTCGCCACGTTGGGGATCTTCGCGAAGCCCAACAACCCTACCAAAAATTCTCATGCCGTGTCAGCAACTTCCCCATCCCGTCAGACCCACCGCGCTGCTTGTCAGGGCTACACTCATCAAGATGTTACGGTACACTACACAATCAAGTCGCCTGAATAAAAAACGCTTCGGGTACATTAAGAAATTATGTGATGTGATCATGTGACCAAGATTGACACGCATGAACATTTGAGGAATTTGGGGCCTTGCAGGGTAAACACTTTGGTGTAACTCAAATAGGAGTGGAGTTGGAAGATGCTACCGTATTATGGTGTTCTTCAAATGCAGATTCAGGTCAAAATTGTGATAGACGAAGGTGCCGTTCCGAAGGGTTTGCCGGAAGAAAACTATGTGTCCGGAGCTCGTTCAGCCTCCAATATCGCTGCGAGGAACACGCATGGAACATGCATAAGTTATGACAAGGGAGGGGAAAGGAGCAACTGGGGGAAAAAACGAGGGCGAGAGAGAGGGGGGAGGGGGCGAATTGAGAGGAAGAAGGGGAGAGGGAGGGGGGTGTGGGGAAAGGGGGAAGAGAGGACGGAAGGGGGGGTGAGAGACGGCAAGAGGGCAAAACGAAGAATGACGGCCAGAGGGAATTACCACATGCCAGTAACAACGCACACACACTATGTTTCCACAGGAGACGAAAAATGGAACGCTAGACTCGGTGGTCTTACCTGTGGTAGACGCGCTCTTTCCCGTGGCTCGTGTCAGCTTGCTTCTTGGCCCAAAATTGTCAAAATACACTTTTGCTACAATCATAAAAATCAGCAGCACAATCTCTAGGGCTTGAGGGACGTAAATGACCCATAAACCGAAATGAATAGAATATACAAGGTACAGGAGATGCGCGAGGGCAAAAATGAGCTGCCTGAACGTGAACGGTGATTTTAGGGGAGGAGACGAGAAAGGGGACATGGAACAAAGGGAAATGGAAAGGGAGGAAACGGTGAGCAACAAAGGGAAAAGGTAGGGTAGACTCAACGAATGCTTACAGGCAGACAAGGATAACAACACGATGCCAGCAAGGGCATAAGTATTAGCGGTATATTAATGAAGAAATTCAGATATAACAAATTACCCGAAAAAACAGCGCCCGCTTACCCTAACGCCGGCTGCTCAATTCGACAAGCATTAAGTCTATCTAAGACGTCGGATACTTTTAAAACGTCCAGCTCAAGCCTAGGAGCTCACCAGGCGTAGCTAATGTCCGTAGCTGATCGGGTCTTGAGGACCTTGTACGTCTGAGCGGCTGTGGAGAGCGGAAACATCAACCCTCCCACGAAGCCTATCACCTGATACGCGTCATCAAACACCATAATCCCAAATCAGGCCCCTAAATAACTTCAAAGCATGCTACATCGACGCTTCTGCAACTCAACCCAAGATTAGGAGGAGCTCGTTCGGAAAGATTAGGTACAAACAAGCAGATGTTCTGCCTAGAGATTGACGTTACCTGTCCAGAGTGGACGTGATGAATGTCAGCCCGAAGCATCGCCCCGCAAGCTTGCACCCGTCACGGCTCAGTACGGTGAAGGTAGGTTTAAGTGAAATAAGTGGTAAGAAATACCATGCCCTACTCGTTAATCACCGAGCAGAAACAGGTTATGTGCAAAAGTACGCCGATGCCGGGGATCGAACCCGGATCTTCCGCGTGACAGGCGGAGATACTGACCATTATACTACATCGACATGTCTGTCATAATTTCAAATAATTCATATTTTATATTTCTACCCTCGCGTGCCTCTGTCCCAACTTCAACCGCACTTTACCACGCAATGTTTTTACTGAAATATGTCAAGACCGTTGTTAAAATTACTGTACCGTTCTGACTGTTCGGAACTGCATATGTTCCACGCCCTGACAGCGCCTTCGTCTGATCTCCAAGCAATGCAAAGCCAGTGCTGACTGCCATGATCGCTGGTGCTGTCGCTCCCTTCTCTCCCCTCCTCCAGCCACTGCCATTCCCTCTGATTTCACGAAGTTCGACTTGCGCACATCGTTGCGCCAATAGACAGGCCCATTCGCGGGAAGTTCGCGAGCGGAGGGGAGGGATTTATCCGCGAGCCGGTGGTTCGGGTGCAGATTCCGGGTCGTTTCCTGCTAATAAGTCCGCCGAAGCAGCTTCTAACGAGGACGCTCGATCCGTGACAATGACAGGATCGTTAAATTCTTCTATTCCTTCGGATTTCAAGAAGAATAGTTCTAGTAGCAGCGGGAGGGTAGCCGTAACCCCCATAGTCGCCGAGGGTATCTTTCGCCTAGACGCGGACGAAGGTTCTCGGAAGGCGGCCTTCCCGTCTCTTTCATTCGCAGACCCGTCGGCCAGGGAGCAGCGGCTGGGAGGCGGTGGTTCGGGAAACGAGGAACTCTCAATCGAGGATGTGCTTGCAGGGGTTGCTGTGACCGTGGAATTCAGCTCGCGAAACGACCAGCAAGTGGTTACCATCCAAGTTCGTGAATTCGACCGTTTGAATGCGAAGACTGTATTCATGTCCATCCCTTCTGCCTGCTCACCATAAGGGATTTTCATTCGAATGCGTGTGCTCACGATTTTCCCATGCTTCCTGGATTCATCCAGTTTTGAGACATCTCGAAACTCGTTCAGGATTGCATGCGCGTGCTGCAACTCGTTCACGACTACCCCCTTGCTACCTGCATTCATCGCCCCTCCCTGCCAGCTGCCAGAGGGGTCGTCCTTCTATGGAACAGGGGAGGTGGGAGGGCCTCTGGAGAGGAGCAAGAAACGGGTGAGTTTGATGCTAAGGGTGCTGATGATGCTGCTGGCTGACTGACTGCTGCCACTGCTGCCGTTGCTCCTGCTGCTGCTGCTGCTGCTGCTGCTGCCGCTTCTCCTGCTGCTGCTGCTGCTGCTTCTCCTGCTGCTGCTGCTGCTGCTGCTGCTGCCGCTTCTCCTGCTGCTGCTGCTGCCGCTTCTCCTGCTGCTGCTGCTGCTGCTGCTGCTGCTGCTGCTGCTGCTGCTGCTGCTGCTGCTGCTGCTGCTGCTGCTGCTGCTGCTGCTTCTCCTGCTGCCGTAACTGCTGCTTTTGCTTGCGCTCGTCGCCTTGCTTCCCTCAGCAGCCTATTCCAGCTCTGTTCCTAACTGATTTTTGAGTCGACACAAAAATCACCCTCTGTACGCTATTCCAGCTCTGTTCCAACCCAAACTGTATGTGTCCACGACAGCTGACGATCAGATCAGATTCGCCTCCCCTTCCCCAATTGCCCTAGATATTCTGGTGGGACACACAGGCTGCGGCTGGGGTGGGGACCCGGCCCGGCAGCTCTTTGAGCCAGCTCAAGAGTTCCTCCACTGTCCGCACCCCCACACACACCCACCCTCCCCCCCCCATTTTCCACCTGAATTGCCCCAGATATTCACCAGGGACATGGGCTGCTGCTGGGGTGGGGAGCCGGCAGCTCTTTGAGCCAGCTCAAGAGTTCCTCTACTGTCCACACCCCCACACACACCCCCACCCCCACTCACACTCACCCCCACACACACCCACCCTCTCCCCCTCATTTCTCACCTCAATTGCCCCAGATATTCTGGTGGGACACGGGCTGCTGCTGGGGTGCGGATCCGGCAGCTCTTCTGAGTTCCTCCACACGCACCCACCCCCACACACACTCACCCCCGTACACACCCACCCTCTCCCCCCCATTTCTCCACACTCACCCAGCTCAAGATTTTCTCCACTGTCCACACCCACCCTCTCTTTCCTCCCTCCCCCTCCTCTCCCACCCCACCCCAATCGCCCCGCCCCAGATATTCACCTGATACACGGACTGCTGGGCCTTAATGGCAGCACCCACCTTCTCCAAAACCTCCCCTTGGGGCTTTAACGGCAGCACCCACCTTCTCCAAAACCTTTCTCTCCCACCCACAACAACCGAACCAGATATTCACCTGGAACACGGACTGCTGGGGCTTTAATGGCAGCACCCCCTCGCTCTACATGTCGCATCCCTGGGTGTTCGCCCTGCTGCCTGACGGCCGCTGCCTTGGCTTCCTGGCAGACACCACCCGGCGCTGTGAGGTGAGTACATTTGAGTCGACTCAAAAGTCACCTTGGCTTCCTGGCAGACACCACCCGGCGCTGCGAGGTGAGTACATTTGAGTCGACTCAAAAGTCACCTTGGCTTCCTGGCAGACACCACCCGGTGCTGTGAGGTGAGTACATACAACGCAGCTGGTGGGTTGAACAGGAGAATGCCTGCTGGTGAGTACAGACAACGCAGCTGGTGGGTTGATTGAGCAGGAGTATTGGCAGACACCACTCGCTGCTGGGAGCCTTCAGCCTAGACCGGACCAGCCAGTAGACCTTCAGAGTGCCAGTAGCTTCAGTTGCGGCTGGATCAGCCTTCAGGTGGGCCGGGGAGGCGCTCCCTCCCACCCTCTGCTTCACTGCATCTGCTCCCTGCCACCTCATCCTATTCCGCCCCAGACTCAGTACCCCCATCTTGCAGCCTTACTTTCCCTCCATCTTTTTGAGTCGACTCAAAAATCCCCCAGTAGTAGTACCGCCATCTTGCAGCCTTCATCTTTCCCTCCATCTCTGACTTCCCCCCTTCAGGTGGACCGTAGAGGCGCTCGCTCCCTCCCACCCTCCGCGTCACTGCATCTGCTCCCTTCCCCCTCATCCTGTTGTTCGGCCCACCAGTTCTCATTCGCACACCCATCCTCCCTCCATCTCTGTGCATCCCACCCACGTTCAGGTGGACCTGAGAGGAGCTCCCACCCTCCGCGTCACTGCATCTGCTCCCTTCCCCCTCATCCTGTTGTTCGGCCCCACCAGTTCTCCCACGCATCTGCTGGAGCTCTTGGCGAAGGCCATCGGTGAGTGGGTCAAAGGGCGTACGTGAAGCCAAGCCGCACACACAGGTGAGGTGTGTGGTTCAATTCAAAGGTTGTGGTTGTGTCAGGTGGCAATGGTTGGGTGGGTGGGCAACACAGCTTCCACAAAAATATGTTACGTGGCAGCAGGTGGGTGCGAGCAACACGGCTTCTGGTGAGGATTGCACGTACACGCGTCCACTTCGAGACGGAGAGAGCATCGACCCTCCCCCCCATCATCCTGTTCGGCCCCACCAGTTCCCCCGCACATCTGCTGGAGCTCTTGGCGAAAGCCATAGATGAGTGAGTCAAAGGGCGTTAGTGAAGCCACACAGGTGAGTTGAGTGGGTCAAGTCAAGTCAAATCTCGTTCTCCTAGTAATGAGGGGCTTTTAGCCGCTGGTGCTACTCGAAAGTCACCCTCAGGTAACTCAAAAGTCACCGTGCAGAGAGCACCGACCCCTTCCCTTCCGCCTCATCCTATTGCGGCCCCTTCACTTCACCCTCAAAGTTTGTTTCATCCACGTCCCTGATCGTTCCTTCCTTCTGCCCTCTCACCTCGCGTGAGGAGTCTTATTTTGAGGCACCTCAAAAACAGACCCCTCATCTCATCCTACGCGGCCCCTTCACTTTGCAGGGTATTTTTGAGAATTCTCAAAAGTACCCTGCAAATTGTTGAGGCGCCTAAAAAACAGACCCCTCATCTGATCCTACTCGGCCCCTTCACTTCACCCTCAAAGTTCGTTTCATCCACTGCCCCAATTGTTCCTTCTGCCCTCTCACCTCACTTCCCTTGCTTCCCTGCTTTTCCCAGGTCCCCTCCCACTCCCGGCACGCTGGGTGCTGGGCTACCAGCAGTGCCGCTTCAGCTATGAGTCTGCTGCCAGGGTGGAAGAGGTGAGAAGCGGTGAAAAGCGGTGAGAAAGAGGATAAAGCGTTGAATATATCACGTTATATGCAGTGTCGCTTCAGCTATGAGTCAGCTGGCAAGTTAGAAGTGGTGAGAAGCGGTGAAAGGGGGTGAGAGGTGATGCGTGAATGATGGGTAGGATGCTTCATAGTACTGGATTCGCTTCATTGAGAAACGAGCGATTGCCAAAGCCTCAGGACGCTGTAAAGGCTACTGCTTATGTATGTACTGACAGGATCGCGATAGGAGATGTTACGGACTATTGGTCGGTCGGAGACTCGGAGCGTTGGCTCCCCACCCCATTTGGCTGACACGTGGCACGAACCTTATAGGGAGAAGATCATCCCATCCCATGTGACGTCATGTTTTGAGGCGCCTCAAAACTAGATCCCATGCCATGTGACGTCATGTGGTGGATGGATCATGGACACAGATTACATGGACGCACGGATGGCTACAAGAGCTTCACCTTTGACTTGTATACCTTTCAGGCATCCATTCCCCGCCCCCCTCACTCTTGTCATTTCTTCCAGGCGGCCAAGACTTTTGGGGAGAAAAAGTTACCATACGATGTGATGTGACTCAACAGACATTCCATACGATGGATGGATGGATGGATGGATGGATCGATGGATGGATGGGCATCGACTACATGGCCGGGTACAACAAGGGCCTCTCCTTCGACCCGCTCAACTTCCAGACCAATCTCTCCCCCATCTCTCTCTTCTTTGTCTCTGCCGCTCATTGGCAGGTGACAAAGACGTTTCAAGAGAAGAAGATATTGTGTGACGTCATGTGGATGGGCATCAACTACATGGCCGGCTACAAGAGCTTCACCTTTGACCTGGTCCATTCTTCCAGAATCCAGACCCCTTGAGTGTTTGGCATCGTGTGCCTGTGTGTGTGCTGCTCATTGGCAGGTGGCAAAAGCCTTTCGAGAGAAGAAGATACCGTGCGATGTGATGTGGATGGACATCGACTACATGGACGGATACAAGAGCTTCACCTTTGACCCGGCCAACTTCCCCGAGCCTCTCAAGCTGGCTCGGTGGCTGAACGAGGCGGGCTTTAAGGCCATCTGGATGCTGGACCCGGGGATCAAGGAGGAGCCGGGGTACGCGCCTCTGGAGTCGGGAGACGGGGCAGACGTGTGGATTCTCAATGCCGATGGCGCGCCCTTTGTAGGTATGTCAAGGAGGAGGCGGGCTGTAAGGCCGTCTGGATGCTGGACCGGAGGATCAAGGATGAGCCGGGGTACGCGCCTCTGGAGTTGGGAGACGGGGCGGATGTGTAGATTCTCAATGCCAATGGCACGCCCTTCGTGCATGAGTGTGATTGTAGACGGTGTGCTAGTGGGAAGCTGTGTTTGTGGGGAGCTGTGTTTCCTGCTGGGTAGTTTGCAGATGAATGATAAGCCTTGAACCGGCTTGTTGTTGGATGGAACAACACTGGCTTTAAGGCCATCTGGATGCTGGACCCGGGGATCAAGGAGGAGCCAGGGTACGCGCCTATGGAGTCGGGACTCGGGGGTCAGGACGAGGACGTGTGGATTCTCAATGCTGATGGCACGCCGTTTGTAGTTAGGTCAAGGAGCAGGCGGGCTTTAAGGCCGTCTGGATGCTGGACCTGGGAATTAAAGAGGAGCAGGGGTACGCACCGGTGGAGTGGGGGGATAAGGGAGATGTGTGGATTTTGAACGCCCGTGGCACGCCCTTTGTGGGTGTGCACTATATTAGCACGCCCTTCGTGGGTGTGGGCTATAGTGGCATGCCCTTTATGTGTGTGCGCTATAGTAGCACGCCCTTCGTGCGTGTGGGATCTTGAGCATGCTTGCTTGTAGTTGGGTGAGCGCTATTGAGTGAGCTGCCACATGCTGCGTCAAGGAGGAGCAGGGGTACTCCGAACTGGTTTTTGAGAATTCTCAAAAACCAATTCAGCCTGTGGAAGTCAGGGGATGGGGCGGGCGGATTACAGACGTGTGGGTCTTGAATGCCCATGGCACGCCTTCATGGGTGAGTGTGACTATAGATGGGTGTGCTTGTTGCCACTTTAATAGTGGCACGTGCTGTGCCTCTCAAGGCAAGAGCAACATGCTTGTTCCCCTACAACGTGCTTGTTCCCCTGCAACGTGCTTGTTCCCCTACAACGTGCTTGTTCCGCTACAACGTGCTTGTTCCCCTACAACGTGCGGCGAGCAGGGGAGAGGCAGTGGTGGCGAGACTTGGTGGCGGAATAACCATCTCGCTAGGCTGCCTGCCTCGCCCTTTGCTCCAGCCATATCTCCTGCGTTCTCCCTCCCATGGTGCATCCAAGTGACATGTGGCCCCGCCCCTGCAAGTTCCCTGCAAGTTCCCTGACTTCACAGTGCAGTGAGAGTGGAGCGGGCAGGGGCGAGACCTGGTTTTCACCATTCCTTTGCTTCGCGCCATCCAACCTCCCTTACTGCCAAGTAAGGAAGACAATGGCGCGAGATCTCCTCTATCTTACTGCCATCTCCCTCCCCCCTCCCTGTTCGCCGCATCCAGGCGACGTGTGGCCCGGCCCCTGCAAGTTTCCGGATTACACGATGCAGAGGCAAGGGAGTGGTGGAGAGACCTGGTGGCAGAGTTTGCGAGAGAGGGGTGGACGGGATTTGGAACGACATGAACGAGCCCACCGTGTTCCGAGTGAGTGAGGCGGTAAGGAGGGGAACAGGTGTTTGTTGGTGGGGGGGAGGAATGGGCGGACTGGGGACGTAAGAGTTGACTCAGGAGGGGATGGACGGGATCTGGAACGACATGAACGAACCCACCGTGTTCCGAGTGAGTGAGGCTGGTGGTTGGGGGCAACAGGTGCTTGCGGGGGGGGAAGGGGGAGGATGTATGAGTCGACACAGAAGTAGGTAGATGAGATCTGGAACGACATGTTGAACCCACCGTGGTTCCGAGTGAGTGGGTGAGGGAGGAGGGAAGAACAGGGGTCAGTGGGAAGGAAGGGGGGGCTTTTGAGTCAAGTCCCGGTGGGAGTTGAGGGGTGGGTGGTTGGGATCTGGACAACATGTTGAACCCACTGTGTCCGAGTGAGTGAGGCTGTTTTGATTGTGGTTCCTGGTATGGCATGGCATACAATGGCACACGTGTGAGGGAGTGTTGGCGAGACGTGGTAGAGATTTTGCGAGAGAGGGGTGTTTGGGATCTGGAACGACATGTTGAACCCACCGTGTTCCGAGTGAGTGAGGCTGTTTTGATTGTGGTTCCTGGTATGGCATGGCATACAATGGCACACGTGTGAGGGAGTGTTGCGAGACGTGGTAGAGATTTTGCGAGAGAGGGGTGTTTGGGATCTGGAACGACATGTTGAACCCACCGTGTTCCGAGTGGAGAGGCTGGTTTCATTGTGGTTCTGGTATGGCTTGGCATGGCATACATTGGTAGGATGGGCACGCGTGTGGGGAGTGTTGGCGAGACATGGCAGATTTTGCGAGAGAGGGTGGATGGGATCTGGAACGACATGAACGAACTCACGGTGTTCCGAGTGATCTGGGGCCCCCAGATTGGGCGGGATACAGGTGTTCGTGGTGGGTGGGGGGTGTGGGGTGGTGGGGGAAGAGGCAGGATGTATGAGTGGACTCAGAAGTGGGTGGATGGGATCCGGAACGACATGAATGAAACCTGCTCTCCCCCGTCAGGCAGTGAGCAAGGTGTTGCCAGACTAAAATATTTATAGAAAGGATGATGACGTGGGGGGGGGGGGGGGGGGGAAAGGGGGAGCGGGAGCCCAGTCGTGCATGCATGTGCCCACGTTTGCCCTCCTGCCTATCCCTGAGTCTGTCTGGCCCCCCTCACACCTCAGGCAGTCAACAAGACCCCCTCACACCTCAGGCAGTCAACAAGACCCCCTCACACCTCAGGCAGTCAACAAGACCCCCTCACACCTCAGGCAGTCAACAAGACCCCTCCACACCTCAGGCAGTCAACAAGACCCCCTCACACCTCAGGCAGTCAACAAGACCCCCTCACACCTCAGGCAGTCAACAAGACCCCCTCACACCTCAGGCAGTCAACAAGACCCCCTCACACCTCAGGCAGTCAACAAGACCCCCTCACACCTCAGCAGTCAACAAGACCCCTCACACCTCAGGCAGTCAACAAGACCCCCTCACACCTCAGGCAGTCAACAAGACCCCCTCACACCTCAGGCAGTCAACAAGACCCCCTCACACCTCAGGCACTCAACAAGACCCCCTCACACCTCAGCAGTCAACAAGACCCCCTCACACACACCTCAGGCAGTCAACAAGACCCCCTCACACACACCTCAGGCAGTCAACAAGACCCCCTCACACCTCAGGCAGTCAACAAGACCCCTCACACCTCAGGCAGTCAACAAGACCCCCTCACACCTCAGGCAGTCAACAAGACCCCCTCACACCTCAGGCAGTCAACAAGACCCCCTCACACCTCAGGCAGTCAACAAGACCCCCTCACACCTCAGGCAGTCAACAAGACCCCCCTCACACCTCAGGCAGTCAACAAGACCCCCTCACACCTCAGGCAGTCAACAAGACCCCCTCACACCTCAGGCAGTCAACAAGACCCCCTCACACCTCAGGCAGTCAACAAGACCCCCTCACACCTCAGGCAGTCAACAAGACCCCCTACACCTTAGGCAGTCAACAAGACCCCCTCACACCTCAGGCAGTCAACAAGACCCCCTCACACCTCAGGCAGTCAACAAGACCCCTCTTACCTCAGGCAGTCAACAAGACCCCCTCTTACCTCAGGCAGTCAACAAGACCCCCTCTTACCTCAGGCAGTCAACAAGACCCCTCACACACACCTCAGGCAGTCAACAAGACCCCTCACACACACCTCAGGCAGTCAACAAGACCCCTCACACACACCTCAGGCAGTCAACAAGACCCCTCACACACACCTCAGGCAGTCAACAAGACCCCCTCACACCTCAGGCAGTCAACAAGACCCCCTCACACACACCTCAGGCAGTCAACAAGACCCCCTCACACACACCTCAGGCAGTCAACAAGACCCCCTCCACACCTCAGGCAGTCAACAAGACCCCCTCACACCTCAGGCAGTCAACAAGACCCCCTCACACCTCAGGCAGTCAACAAGACCCCCTCACACCTCAGGCAGTCAACAAGACCCCCTCACACCTCAGGCAGTCAACAAGACCCCCTCACACCTCAGGCAGTCAACAAGACCCCCTCACACCTCAGGCAGTCAACAAGACCCCCTCACACCTCAGGCAGTCAACAAGACCCCCTCACACCTCAGGCAGTCAACAAGACCCCCTCACACCTCAGGCAGTCAACAAGACCCCCTCACACCTCAGGCAGTCAACAAGACCCCCTCACACCTTCAGGCAGTCAACAAGACCCCCTCACACCTCAGGCAGTCAACAAGACCCCTCTTACCTCAGGCAGTCAACAAGACCCCCTCTTACCTCAGGCAGTCAACAAGACCCCCTCTTACCTCAGGCAGTCAACAAGACCCCTCTTACCTCAGGCAGTCAACAAGACCCCCCTCACACACACCTCAGGCAGTCAACAAGACCATGCATAGGGGGATGGCGACATGGGTCCACCACCCTCGCTCTGTCCCTCTGCCCCATGGGCGTCCACTCACCCCTGCCCGTGTTTCTTTTTGCCTTTTTTTGAGTCCACCCTGCCCTTTTTTTCCCTTCATGAAATCAGGCAGTCAACAAGACCATGCCGGACGATAACATCCATAGGGGGGATGACGACATGGGGGGCACTCAGAACCACCTGCACTACCACAATGTGAGCAAGACGTGGAGTTATGCACATTCCCGTACTGTATTATCATGTGTTACGATGGTTGTTTGGCACGTGCTTATAGAGGGGATGATGACATGGGGGGTTCTCAGAACCACCTGCACTATCACATTCTACGAGCAAGTCTATGTGCCTTGGAAAGCAGACTATCATTCGGTGTAGCTTGTATCTTGGTACGTGCTTATCTTGAGCTTGTAGCTTGTATCTTGAGTCGACTCAAAAGCATTATCTTGCATTGCAGTGAGCTTGTACCTTGGTACGTGCTTGTAAAGGGGGATGCAACGTCGGGGCCACTCACAACCCTCTGCACTGCGCTACCACAATGTGAGCCTGAAGTGTGGCCATCACTAAAGCAGGAATATGTACAGTATACTGTACTGTACACCACCATTGCATATGAGCTCTTGGTCCTGTAAGTGGGCATTAGGCTAAGAATGAGGGTTATGAACAGCAGTAGGACGCGTGCCACTTTTCTTTAAACCCCTAGAGAAGCCGCTCCCCTCCCCAAGCCTCCCTTTGTGACTCGAGTGAGTTGATGGGCAGCCAGAAGGGCAGCTAGAGATTTGCTGCCTCATGGACTGGCGACAACAACACACCTTAGAAGAACTACCTCACGTTTCCCTCTATGTGTGCTTCTTGCGTTCAGGTGTACGACCTGCAGATCTGCCACTACTCCTTGGTGCTGACCAGGGCAGGGTACATAGGCAGCCAGCAGTATGCTGCTTTGTGGACTGGCGACAACCTGGCCACCTAGATGTTTCAAAGGACACCCCATTTCCTTCCCCACCCACCCCCCCCCCCCCCCATCCACACCCCCCCGCACACTATGCCTGTCAGGTGTGTGGTATGCTCATGGCACGGGCCACCTGTGAGGGCCTGAAGAGTCTATTCTTGAGGCGCCTCAAAAATGGCCACCTGTGAGGGCCTGAAGAAGGCACTGCCTGAGAAACAGCCATTTGTGCTGACTCGTGCGGGGTACATAGGCAGCCAGCGGTATGCTGCGTTGTGGACTGACTGGCGACAACCTGGCTCAGAGTAACAGCCCCTTGGCCCCTGCGTGTGCTTCTTGCTTCCTCTCTGCACCAGGTGTACGGCATGCTCATGCCACGGGCTCCAATCGAAGCGTGGAAAAGGCACTACCTGAGAAACGGCCATTTGTGCTGACTCGTACGGGTACATAGGCCCCTTCCCCCCCCTGCCCACCCCCCTCTGCGCCT